ACTGAGAGAATGTATTAAAAACACCAACAGGGTGATTGGTTAATATAGGAAGTTACACATATATCATATAACATTATTTTACATATGATATATTGTTTCAACATTATGTTATATTACATTTTCTTATATTGTATGCATGGTATATATATATATGTATACACATAAACCACTCAAAAGAGACTGGAGGTACCAACAATTCAAACATGGGGATGCGTAAACAACTATGGGACCATGCCAACTCTGTGGCTGTCCACTCTGGGTACCGGGATTTGCCCCTTCCCCAAATAGCCAACACCAATCCAGACAAAAGAAGCCAGTAATAAAGCTTGGGCACAATGTTTGTGTTTTTTTGCATATCCATATCAGAAATAATTTGTTCATATTTGTTCAATCATAATACCCAATAAATGTCAATGTCGATTGGGAATATGAGGTTTAAACCCACCATCCTTTATATAATATATATATATATGGTTTTCCCAACAGTTTCACAGAAATCTACATCTCAATATCATATCCACAAGTGAGGGGAGAGGTTGGCCAGGCTAGGCTGAAAGCTGCGGCTTTGACCATGGATTTCGCCTGTTGAGCAGCACGTCTTTTTTTTGCCGATGAGCAGGATCGGTTGTAAGTTGTTGATGTTGTTGAGAAAAAAATGTGCCGCACTTGATCAGCAGGAGGGATTGCCGTTTAATCTGGACCAAGGTGTTGATTCCAGAAGCAGAGAAGCAGCTGGGTGACTGGTGGTGGCGCCCAAGTATCACCAACTATCTATATACAAAAGTTGCCATAGGGAGTCGTTTGCCGTGAATGGCCACTGGGTCAAAAGTGTGTTGTTTAGTTTTTTTTTTTCCCGGGTGCCCAGCGGCAGCTCTTTGGGCCTTGATTTGTGTTGGTGACACAATAGGTTTTTTTGGTCCCTTTGTTTCAAGAGGATTGTCTTCATGGGAAGTTTTTGCAGTTTTGCCCTACGATGCAGAACATGTTGAGTTTCTTTAGGAGCATTGGGTCCCTCATTATCGGTCCTGTCCATCCGTGAAGTTGTAATTGGTTCCTGTTGTATGTTTTGTATGTGGTTTATCCAACTCTTTGGCATAAGAACATATGGTCAATAAACACATACCACAATAATCCACAATATACTATTGATGATAGATAGACTCCTTAAAACTGGATGGACCCAGCAGAAAAAAGAGGCAAACACGGCTTACCAAGATGTATAATTCAGCGACAAACATGGTGGCCCCTCAAGGGATAAGTTGGTTTAAAACATCCATAAACTCGAGTTATGATTACCCTAAACCCGCATTCTTGGAGTTATGTTCACCAATTTAGCTACTCTTTGTGGGCCTTAAGTTTGCAACCACTTAGCATTCCTGGGGCCCCCGCAGGCACCCAGCACCAATCGGGACTTGGAGGATTGGAAGCGAAGAAGACGCTGGGACTCAACCTGGGCCCATTACAAATAGAGTTGGGGATTTTGAACTCATAACAGGAAGTAACCAAAATCAATAGTGATTTTCTTGGCCCTGTTACTCTCCAGTAGTATGAACCTGGCTTGCCGGACACCATTGATAGAGGTTCTCCCAGCTCCAAACGTCCGGTGAGGTGATTTTCCAGACGTTTCTGATTACAGGAGGGGACCAAATGACTATCTTGATTGCTTCACGAGGTCTTGATGATTTATCCGTAGTTTTGCAATGTTTTGCCCATAGTCCTTGCTGGTTGGGTTTTGAAAATGACTGTTTTCAACGATAATTGGGACGACGATACAACATAACCAATAATTTTGGGATGGTTTGAAACCAGCAACCAGATAGTGATCCCCACCGTGGCATTATTTTGTCATAGTTTCTGACATCTCATCTGGAAGTGTATAAATTATATATGGCACTTATGTTCTGACATTCTTTTCAGGCATTCTATTTGATTCTATTCTGACATTTTATTCTGGCATTCTATCTGGCATCTATTCTGACATCCTATCTGGCATCCTTTCTGGCATCCTTTCTGGCATCTATTCTGACATGTTCTCTGGCATTCTATTTGGCATTCACTCTGATATTCTATCTGGCATCTATTCTAACATTCTTTCTGGCATCTATTTCTATCTGGCATTCTATCTGACATTCTATTCTGGCACTCTATCTGGCATTCTATTTGCATTCTATTCTTGCATTTTTTCTGGCATTCTATCTGACATGGGCAGTGCCCACTGAGCTCTGGAGCTCGCAGTTGAACTGAGATCTGGAGCTTGCCGTTGAGGTCCGGCAGTGCCCACTGAGATCTGCCGCTCGCAGTTGAGGTCAGGCAGTGCCGGAGCTATCAGGATTGAGGAGGAGTAGGAGGAAGAGGAGCAGGACGAGGAGAAGGAGGAGAAAGTAACTCTGATAAAATCTAAAGACCCTCACCTGGCCGGTGGGGAAAAAATGTCAAGGGAAAAGCTCCATGCTGATTTGCTGTTCAGCACGGCAGGTCCAAGTGCCACAGGGCAATGAAATACTTTGGTGGCACTATGAATGCAGCATGTGGGTGTGTCTGAAAATGGGGCATTCCCCATCAACATATCAGTTAGTAAGTCGGGGTATAACCCAGTTATGAAGGGGATAAATCCTAGGAATCGGGAACTTATGTTTACTAGGCTTACTAAGAACTACTAACTTGGATGTTCCTCCAATAATGTATATAATTTATATAAATATATGTATTCATACAGTACCTCGTTTTAAAGGACAAACCCGTAGACTTGTGACTCGATGGCATATGAACGTCTTCACCACATGCAACTTGCAAGTAGGACCCTAACCCAACAATTCCAGCCGCTAAGTGGGGTTGACAAACCTATTTAGAACTGGTACTAGCTGACTTTGTTTTTGGAGTGTCTCCACTTGCCGAAGTCCTTCCATGTTTGGCCTCCCTAAAGTGGCCATTGTAAAAACAACTTCAACCCCCATCCCACTAGTATCAAATTCCAGTTTGGGGGGTGCCCAAACTGAATCTATCCCAACGCCCGATTCTTTTCACACCAGGCACCCTGTACCTTCAAGTGGCTAGTCAGTCGATGGTTTGCTATCCATTTGCCATCCATGTCCTTTCACATATTTACAAAGGATCCTCAATACTTCAAGGAATGCTATATCCTTTAAATAAACGTGTCCGTTGAGAACAACGGACATTGTCAATCAAAATTGCTTCTACCATTGGAAAGTACTGCTATGCATTTGAGTGGACCCTCATTCTCTTGAAAAGGAGTATCGTATCATCTTGAAAGAGTACTGCTTCCTTAAAGGGACATGTTGCTTCAAGAGTTGGTATGTATTTCTTTCCTTTAGATACTGCATACTTGAAATGAAATAGTGTTTGTTTGAAAAGGAGCTGTCCTTTTTCAAGAAACGCTGCATTTTCTGAAATTAAAATTGCCTTTTTCCAAGAACATTGCACTTGTGTACAGGGATGCTTGGTTGAATATCACATAGATTTCAAGTGGGATACATTGTCAAGGGGGACACTGCATCTTTTGTAAAGAGGTACTGTGCATTGTGCCAAAGAAGGGTTCCCTTCTTGGAGGAATTGTGTGGTTTGTAGGTGTGTGTGTGTATGCCAAACTTTGCAACTAAAAGGAGATCTGCATACGTTACATTAAATATGTTTGTTTGAGAAGAATATCTGCTTCCAACAAAATTGCATTTGGTTAAAGAAAAGGTGTTTTCTTCAAAACAAAACGGCACTCCATTGAAAGAATTCAACTCTTTGGGAAGGGTGCTTGTTGTAAGCAATCCTGCATCCTTCGGAAAAAAAAACTGTGTGTTGAAAGCTGAATCGTTTTAACATAGACCGCTGCTTTAAAATGCTTGAAGAAAGAGTTTCTTGAACTTCAAGTGATACAAGATATTTGAAGGAAATAAGGCATGTATTCCTTTTGTGAAGCGATACTACACTTTTCGGAGGTAATGATGCATGTGTTTGCAAACTGTGTTGAGGGAAGACTGTGTTTTTCAAAATGTGTGTGTGTGTGTTTGAGTGTGTGTGTATACTGTACACTCAACTTCCTGAAAGGGAAGCTGCCTACTTGACATGAAATATATTTGATGGAACACACAATTGAATGTAGTCATTCCTGCTTGCAAAATTCTTCGAAGTTCCAGGTGCAAGATAATGATCCAGGAACCTGGATCAAATTTGAAGGTAAATATGTCAGTACTTAGAAATAATTTCAGTATATTTTTAAAGACTCACTTGTGATAAACATGATTGAAATCTTTGAAAAGGTAGGCACTGGAGGGGTCGCTTAGCACATTTATATATATATAGATAGATAAGATAGTTCAGCCAGATGATTGTCATAATTCAGCCACATCTGTTGGATCGTTCCGCAGCGTTCCAGATGGTCTAGCGCCTGAGACACGAGTCTTCTGCATCACAGGAGACGAGTTCTGCGGTGGTGAGAGTTGCGTGGACGATTGGATTGGCCAAGCGTGGATTAAGTTTGATCCTCGTTATATGGGTATGGGTCAATACCTATAGATACATTTTTAGTGGGATGAACATCCATTTACCAGCTATTTTAAGGGGTTCACTAGGTACCAGGGTTTTGATCCATCCCCATATTGAACATTGTGGCTTAACATATTTGATTAATCTATACTTGTTGGTGGTTTGGAACATTTTTGGTTTTCCATAATATATGGGATAATCCTTCCCATTGACTTTCATATTTTTCAAAGCGGTTAAAAGCACCAACCAGTATATGATTAGGTATGGTATATTTGATGATTTTTGACAACCTTGACTAAACAATCCACTTGATCCTCGTATTAAAAAAAGTTAAGCATTGTCAAAATTATCAAATGGACATATGTAGCTGATGTAAAAGTAAAAACATCCAATGGTGGTTGATGCGTCATTGAATGAGGACTTAACATGATGTTGCCATCATTTATGTGGTAAACTGTTTAACCATGGACTTGAGAAACTATGGTTGGTTGAGCCAGTTGGTTGATGATTTATTCAATTTTTCTGCAAACCAATAGAGTAATGGTGAAAAACTCATGATTTCCCTGTTATCATAATCGGATTTACTCTGCTAACCAATTCATTCATGATTATCAAAATCCGATGGGAAAATTCATGCACCAACAACTGTAAGGGTTGATCCGATAGGTTTTGGGCGCCGCAGGAACTTTGAAACGAGCTCTGCCGCCTCAAAAATCGCCGGCATTCGCCGGCCAACTCCCAATGTTCACAGCGTAAATCATCTCAAATCCCATGTTTGGATATTTTTGGCCAGATAAATCTGTTGAAAAGTCATTGTTCTTGCTAGAACTAGAACTCTCCAAAACCCATAGGATCCATGTATGCTATATATGGTGTGCCATGGATCCCATCAATATACCCCCTTTATGTTAGCATTTTTCTACCAGCACCATGGATCCGTCATGGGAAATTCTCCACTTCGCTCCCCATCTGTTTTTTTCCGGTGCAATCCCTACAAGGTGGTGCCCCCCCAGTTGTAAGTCGGTTTAGAAACCATAGTAAGTATAGATATATCTACCATAAACCATAGTTATTGGAGTTATAAACCAACTTAGCTAACTATGGGGCACCACCTTGTATGCGGCGCAGGAGCTTTTCCGGGGATTCGCAAGGCCCTGGTGGCGCGAGGCGCGGAGATTCAGATCATTCAGATCGCGCAAAGTTGTCAACGGTGGATATCATCGGGAGACTACCGGGGGACTTTTAAGGTCTTTAATGGATAGCCTGAATAGTCATGAAAGGTCAATGGAAATTCATGGGATATAGAACTCTTAACCAAACATGAGATATGATGTGAATGAATAAGTACTTAATATATAATCAAGTATATGAATAGCGATTTTGAAAGATGTTTGAGGGAAGATTCTATAGTGGAAGATTAAAGGAATAATATTATATATATAACCAACAATATCACTGCATATAGGACTATTAATGACTTTGAATTACTTTTAGCAACCATCATTGGATTGGTTGAATTACGGGACAAAGCAGAGGTTTCCTGCAGATTTTCCCTAACGTAACATGATCCCAATTAAACAATAACATACCAACATGGGGATGGCGATGTTTATAATGAAAATTGGGTAATTAAATCTATTCGTAGGCATGCATATTATATATAGTCGATAATTATATATACTGTATATATATACACTGCATATATACGTACATACATACACAACATAACATAACATTCCATTCCATTCCATTCCATTCCATTACATTATATTACATTATACATACATACATACATACATACATACACTGCACATATCTAAATATACATATATATATATATATATATATATCTAAAGAGGTTGTTTTCTCTTCACACGGCCGTTGCACGATTCCAGTTGATAGTGAGGGTTGTCGTTGGAGGCCATGTGACGACAAATGCAATTACAATTACATGACATTCATGAGTTTCTGCTTGGTGACACGAAATGGTCTTGGGGATAGCCCACTGATAATTCATGGCACGGTTCATCCAAATTTGGGGAGCCCATAGATCATTTGTTTGGGTGGCTAGTTTCTGTATGTATCATCAGGAATTCCCGTTTTATGGTGATAATACGCGTGCAAGCGTCACCATGTTCTGCATGAATTTGCATGACTTCCTTGCCAATAATGATGGTTGGGAGATGCTGGGAGTGGATGCACTGCATTTTGGCACTGGAGGTTGGCACGAGAACGACGACAAGCAAAGCAAATGCTGGGACCGGCCGGAGGGTTTCATGGCGGGTTTGTTGGTGAATCACTGGACTATTGTATCATCAATGTCCTGGTTTCTACGTTAAAAAAATATCCAGTTCATCATTTGTACTTCAGATATGCAAACAGCTCAATGTCCTCCCCTAGCCTGTTGATTGCATCAAACCTATGTTTGTGCCAATTTGTGTTTATTGGAATCCTCCTTTCCTCCTTTTTTGTTTGCTGAGACCTGAATTTGCGATCAAACATAATTTTCATGTCTCAATACGGGTTTGTCCAAAAATGATGGATAGCATGGGACACTGTAGCCGGATTTTGTAATTTCGGTGGATCCGACACACGTTGCTTTCAATTTCATCATGGGGTGGGTCGACTTGAATCTCTCCGAACATTTTTCAAAACCCCAGACCTTCATGGTTCATCATTACCCTCTGGTAAACTAACATAGCTGTGGAAAATAGCACATTTATAGATGGTTTACCTATTTAAAATGGTGATTTTCCATAGCTATGTTATATTAGGTACCAGTGACTTAGGACTTGTGAAAGATACCCTGGGGTGGACAAGTCCTATCTCATCATGCTTCAGACCCCCCCTGCACAAGTCCCAACTCATCAGGTGTCCGTATGAGATTAGAAACTATGCTTGATTTTTTTTGTGCGGCATGGACCACTCGTAAAACCAGGATGACGTAGGAATTAACTAGCAGAAGTATACTAAGATGATCCTAAGTCATCACGCTCGTGTGCTGCAGCTATTTGGCTATTTGGCCCATCTTCAAAAAATATTTTCAAAAATCTGTGATTTTCTTTTTTCTTCCTTCGATTTCAGTACAGGCATCATTTTAAAGCAATTAAATAAAATAAAAAATCTGAATATTTTTTTCTTTTTTTTTCACTTTCATTCTTCTCTGTTGTTTCTGCTGTTTTTTTTTCCCGTTGTGCTTCCCTATTGTGGTCCCTGTTGTCTTACCCCGTTGTTCACCCCACTGCGGCGCCACAGGGACTGCAGAGGCGACCCGGAACTGCTTGCTTTCATTTTCCACCAACGCGCGACCGCGCTCTGGCGCTAAATGCTCACCCCGACTCGTTGCATTGGGATCACCGCCCCGGGGAGACACCACGGGGAGACACAACGGGGAGACACAACGGGGAAACAAAACGGGGAAACAAAACGGGAAACAAAATGGAAAAATGAAAGCGAAAAAAAATAGAAAAAATATCTCTATAAATGTTTAATCTATATAATACCTTGAAAACAATGTATGTATATAAATCGAATGAAAAATTGATGACTTAGGACTTGTGCCCATCTTCAAAAAAATATTTCAAAAATCTGTGATTTTCGTTTTTTCTCCTTCGATTTATGTACAGACATTATTTTAAAGCAACTAAATAAAATGAAAAATAGTTTTTTTTGTTTTTTTTCACTTTTCATTTTTCTCTGTTGTTTCCTGTTTTGTTTCCCCCGTTGTGCTTCCCTATTGTGGTCCCCTTGTATTACCCCGTTGCACTACCCCATTGTTGGGTCGAAGTCCTCGAGCCAACCGTTGCGAAAACTGATGACTTAGGACTTGTGCCCATCTTCAAAAAAATAGTTCAAAAATCTGTGATTTTCATTTTTTCCTTCGATTTACATACAGACATTATTTTAAAAGCAATTTAATAAATTCAAAAAATACATACATTTTTTGTTCACTTTTCTCTGCTGTTTCCTGTTTTTTTTCCCGTTGTGCTTCCCTATTGTGGTCCCTGTTGTCTTACCCCGTTGTTCACCCCACTGCGGCGCCACAGGGACTGCAGAGGCGACCGGGAACTGCTCGCTTTCATTTTCCACCAACGAGCGCGCGTTGGCGCAAATTGCTCACCCCGACTCGTTGCATTGGGATCACCGCCCGGGGGAGACACCACGGGGAGACACAACGGAGAAACAAAACGGGGAAACACAATGAAAAAATGAAAACGAAAAAAAATGGAAAAGTTATATCCATAAATGTTAAATCTATTTAGTACCTTGAAAACAATGTATGTATATAAATCGAATGAAAAATTGATGACTTAGGACTTGTGCCCATCTTCAAAAAAATATTTCAAAAATCTGTGATTTTATTTTTTTCTTCGATTTATGTACAGACATTATTTTAAAGCAACTAAATAAAATAGAAAATACATACATTTTTTTTCACTTTTCTCTGCTGTTTCCCGTTTTGTTTCCCGCGTTGTGCTTCCCTATTGTGGTCCCCGTTGTATTACCCCATTGCACTACCCCGTTGTTGGGTCGAAGTCCTCGAGCCAACCGTTGCAAAAACTGATGACTTAGGACTTGTGCCCATCTTCAAAAAAATATTTCAAAAATCTGTGATTTTCATTTTTCCTTCGATTTACATACAGACATTATTTTAAAGCAATTACAGAAATATACAAATACATACATTTTTTGTTCACTTTTCTCTGCTGTTTCCTGTTTTTTTTCCCGTTGTGCTTCCCTATTGTGGTCCCTGTTGTCTTACCCCGTTGTTCACCCCACTGCGGCGCCACAGGGACTGCAAAGGCGACCAGGAACTGCTCGCTTTCATTTTCCACCAACGTGCGCGCGCCTTGGCGCAAAACGCTCACCCCGACTCGTTGCATTGGGATCACCGCCCGGGGGAGACACCACGGGGAGACACCACGGGGAGACACAACGGGGAGACACAACGGGGAAAAAAAACGGGGAAACAAAACGGGGAAACAAAATGGAAAAATGAAAACGAAAAAAAATAGAAAAAATATATCCATAAATGTTAAATCTATATAATACCTTGAAAACAATGTATGTATATAAATCGAATGAAAAATTGATGACTTAGGACTTGTGCCCATCTTCAAAAAAATATTTCAAAAATCTGTGATTTTCGTTTTTTCTCCTTCGATTTATGTACAGACATTATTTTAAAGCAACTAAATAAAATAAAAAATCTGAATTTTTTTGTGTTTTTTTTTCACTTTCATTTTTCTCTGTTGCTTCCTGTTTTGTTTCCCCCGTTGTGCTTCCCTATTGTGGTCCCCGTTGTATTACCCCATTGCACTACCCCGTTGTTGGGTCGAAGTCCTCGAGCCAACCGTTGCGAAAACTGATGACTTAGGACTTGTGCCCATCTTCAAAAAAATAGTTCAAAAAAAATCTGTGATTTTCATTTTTTCTCCTTCGATTTACATACAGACATTATTTTAAAGCAATTACAGAAATAAACAAAAATATAGATATATTTTTTTCATTTTTGAAATATTTTTGGAATATATATATATATATTTTTTTATATGCATTTTTTTTGTTTATTTATTTTTGTTTAACGTATTATGTATTGTAATGTAGTGTAATGTACTGTACTGTACTGCAATGTACTGTAAGTATGTAGGTTCTGATGACTTAGGACTTGTGCCCCTCTAGTGACAGACGATTTTGTGCACCAAGTCCTGTGCATGTATGTAATGTAATGTACTGTAATGTGCTATAATGTAATGTAATGTACTGTAGTGTAATGTGATGTACTGTACTTTACGGTAATGTAATGTAATGTACCGTAGTGTGATGTAATTTACTGTACTGTAATGTAATGTAAGTATGTAGGTTCTGACGACTTATTAAGAGAAGATTTTTTATTTTTTTTAACCGGAAAAAGTGCTTAAGTCCAATCATAACCCCAGTGACTTAGGACTTGGTGCACACAAATCACCTGGTAAGAACACCAGTGACTTAGGACTTGGTGCACAAACTCCTATGTCACTATGGTGACCTAAGTCCTAAGTCATGGGTGCCTATTATAGTTTACCAGAGGGTATTCCTATATTGGAACAAAGTTATTTTATGGCAAATCCATGTCAATCCACCATGTTCAGAGACACCCGTATCAGAGTGTATCCGGGTTGCAATTTCAGAGTGTATCCCAAAGAATCCCATGCGAATGGTGGTGGTTGAATGCTCATTGTCTAAAATCCACCATGAAATTCTTGTTTGGCCATAGAAATCCAATGATATCCAATGATATCCCTATTATATCATTCCAATAATTATATATATAATATATATAATTGTATATATAATGCCCTATCTATCTATATATATATATATATATACACACACACATGTTCAATTTCTTTAACTGTTTGGTGTTGGACGATGGAAGGACTTGAAGTACGCGCTTTGGCAGCGCGACCTGGGTGAGATGGGCGAATTGGAGGAGAGCCAGGCGCTCGGTGGCCGGGCAGAGAAAATGATGGGTAAAAGAAGATAAAATGATGGGAAAAAGGTGGGAAAGTGATGGGAACATAGAAAATAATTGGGACATTTGTGGGATAAAATGTACGGGATGAAAATTGAGTGTATTTGGGAATTGGGATGGTCAAGGTATATTAAGCAGATCTGATTTGATCAGAAATTGCATGGGTATGCGTCGACACTTCAAACCAGGAGGACTAGACTAGAGATCTATGTTTTTTCCCTGAAGATGGTGCTGATTCTGCGTTCAGGTAGTGAACTACTTCGCCCGGAACGCGGAGCTCACATCCAAGGTGCCAGCAGTTGGTGCACCAAACCATTGATAGACGTTGTTGCCAAGATGCTTTATAGCTTCAAGTTTAATATTGATGATGCGTTGAATGCGTTGAGTGCACCTATACCCTATAGTCTTATTGTAGATGCATATCGCCTGTCGCCACGTATTGAATCACTCCGGAGTCCATGGGATTCAATCAGAGAGTTTGATGCGATGTATGGAGAGAAAAGAATCCATAGATCTGGGATCATCTTGGTGGAACATCCAGACATCAAGCGAACATACATACATACATACATACATACATACATACATACATACATACATACATACATACATACATACATACAGACACACACACACACATACACATACACATACACATGCACATGCATGCATGCATGCATGCATGCATGCATACAATATATATATATATATATATACATTTGTGCCCGTATATATATATATATATATAGTTATACATATACATCCAATCAGTTGTGGTTTGAGAGTTTGTAAGTTCCCATTATATCCGTGATTATTTTGCCCAAAATATATCAAACAAATGGATCCTCGCTGCTTTTTTTTCAGATGGCTCAACCACTGATCAGTTATGATTTGACATTTTTAATAAACTTGACATTATCTCACAATCTCAGGTTTTTTTTCGTGGATCTTAACATCATGACATAATAACATCCAATAAAATCCAACACAAAAATCCCATGAAATTCCCCTGAATTCCACTGGGTAACAGCTGGAGAGTAACACCCAACCGTCGAGGTCGGCTTGTGCAACTCGTTGTACAACTGCTGCACCTTGGACCGGGCCACTTGGGCGCTGAGCGGACATAAAGGGTGTTTGTCAAGGGGTGGGACAGGCAGAGGCCCATGTGTTTTGTGGGTAAAAATTGTTTGTTCTCCGTAAACATGAATATATATATATATATACATACTCATATATAGAGATATTAAGTGATATTGTGTCGTCACTTCTGATGTATATACATATATACTTGTATCTTTTAAATTGGTCACTGATAAACAGATATATATATATAACACAATGGATTTATATTAAATGGGTCACTGATATATATATATATATATATACATATGGTGATATTTGATTTGTTGGGAGGTCAACTCTTACACTGGGGATGTTTTTCGTGAGCTTGGAAGATATTTCGTTTAGCACCCGAGGTGGACGTGGATTCCTTCTATCCTCGATCATTTGATCTCACAAGTCCTCCTCAGGCGAAAGATTGCAGGGTTTGGGACCAGGGACCGGCTTGTTCCAACTCCTGCTTAAATGTGAAAATCACCTCGGGGAATTTTCAGGGCAGAAATTAGCTGTTAATATAGCCATTTTACCGTTGTATTCGGGGTGTTGGGAGCAAGCCTGTGTATTGCCGGTGAATTCTCAACGCCATGGTCAAAAGTTGGATTCGGAAAAAAAAACATATAGGTGTATTTATATATATATATATACACACATACATTATACATACATAGATACATACATGCATGCATGCATGCATACATACATCCATCCATCCATACATACATATAACATATCCATTTTGGCTGACTTTCATACCATGCAAAATAGGGAATTATGGTGGCCAATGCGTGGACAACAATGGTTGGATGACCATATCCCATATCCATATACCATGCCATGACGATGGCACACATGATGGCTGAGAAGGGAATTGTCGAGCTTGATGATATATTTCATGTGTTTGCTAATCCCATTCCCCGAATATTAAACACCACCTAAATGATCCCAAATCACCAAACCATGGCTTTGGGGGGGGGTGTTTTTCATGTTAGTGTTTTTTTTTTAAGATGATTTACTATACAATTAAGTTGACTTTCTGGCTGTTGTACTTTGATGCCTTTGCATCTATTGATCTATCTCATTTCGTGTTCCACTGTTTCCACTTTCTTCCATGACCTCATTTGTCTTGCGGCAAGGTTGATTCAGAAGATGGCACTACACAATAGGCGTTGCCAAACAGATAGGAGAGTGGAACACCATGAAAGTAGTGGTAGAGAATCACTTTGTTTTCAGGAATCCTGGTTTTTCTGTCGCCCGCAGGCAGCACACTTTGTGGAAGACTTCAAGCTCACAACGCCAGGGGCCGAATGGGCGGCTTACCCTCCCAATCTTTGGCAAGTGGATTTAGGGGTAACATATTATCAGGTAAGCCCATGTCACTCTTCCAAAATTAATGTCCTTACCCTAAGTGTTTTTTTTGGTGTGCAGTTGAGTTTCAAACAATTTGATTGAAATATTAACTACCATCAACAAAACAACATACGTCAGCAATGTGTTAGTATCTTGATGTATAGATGCACACATAATATATATATATATATATTATTATATTATGTATATATACATATGTATGTATACATTATTTTATATACATAGATGTGGCAATGGGTCAAAACTGTGCTTTGTTGATCCTACAACTGATGTGTTTTTTGGATTTGCTTGGCGCGTCAAAACCCTCAGGTGCCGCTGTTTGCTGCGGCGTTTTACGGAACTGGAGGGCCGTGTGGCAAGGGATCTAGAAGGTGCCGCTGGAGGGGGTGGATAACATACTGTGGATGGTTGGGAAATCCTGCACCGGTTGGTTATTCCATCCACAGACGTGGAAAACCAATGGTTTCGCTAGGAAAAGGATCTAGCAATTGTGGTGTTTCCTCATCTATGTTGATAACCAGAAAAGACAGAATAACACGGAAAAAAAACACACACATATATATATACTGTGGTATTTCATGAAAAAATGTGGATTGAACTAGCCAACATCAGCAGTTTGTGTCTTGGGCCAGGAAAATGGTTGCATTTTGTTTTCTGGAGGGCCTCCTAGTTGCCTGACATCAATTTGTCCTCCCGACTGTCTTCTCTTTTCCAGGCCTGACAGGCAAAGCGTATCCGCGCCACGTGTTGCAAATCGCCCTGGACGTGTGTCGGCTGGGGCCCTCGGGACGCCTATGGGATTTATGGACTTTTATGGGATGTTATTTGGTGATCTAATCTTTGGGATGTATGGGAAGTATATCTTCCATAGAGTGACTAGATATCTGTAGATCTGTCTATCTTTTGTTTCAACCACTTGATACTTGGAGAATCTTGGATATATATATATATATACAATTAGTTATACATATATACGTATATATATATAATTATATATAGCTGTATTTAATCAAATTGAATGTTTGGATGGATGTAAATGTACCAATGTAGGATGATATGAGGAAGTCAAAATGACTCGTTGGCTTTAGATTCATAGTGGCCAGATCGCGCAAATTGTGGCTTAGATCCCATGAAAAATACAGTGTCTCGTTAGTGGTTTATAGTTAATGACCTAATCCAATGTTTTGAATTAGTTAATGAAGTTAGTTAACCAAAACATTGTTGATTAGTTAGTAACTATAAACCATTAATGAACTATTCACTAGTTAGTTAATGAAGTTAGTTTTAATGTTAGTTGAATAATACTTCAAAACTGGAAAACGGGATTTCAATTTCTTCCACAGTACGTTATGTTTGTGTTTTACCAAGAAATTGGTGTCCCTGAACGTCCAACGTTCGCAGGTCCGTTTGTTCAAACATGTCTGGTCCAGGAGGCAGGCCCGCGACGTGGATGATGCTTTGGACGAGGCCTGTGGTATCCTGTGGTGATCGTTGAACGGTCGTTTCAGTGGCACGACCAAACCCTGTTCTCCCTAAGCCTGGAATCATGGTTAGTAAGGGAAAATATCCCCAAATAGCCTTAATTCAGGTTAGTGAATTATTATAATTTACCCAGATTTGTAGAATGTTACAGTCATATCCAGTAACTACCCTCTGGTTATTTAACATAGCCATGGTATAGATGGCCCATTTATAAGATGGTTTGCCTATTAAAAATGGTGATTTTCCATGGCTATGTTAAATAACAAGATGGTAATCTATGTGGATATATCATTGCATAATCGCATATCTAGTCCAATAGCCATATATTCTGTGTATTTATATACGGTAAGGACATTTGAATATGTGGAGGGCGGGCCAGACCGCGAGGCCCCGGAGGTAGTATGAATTGGATTCCGTATGTTGGCCGGGCGGGCCAAGGCAAACCTTCCCGGAGGTAGTCTAAAATACATGTTCGTATAATTATATTTAAAAGTCCGTATATTTAAATGTAGTTACCATATATATATATATCTTATATATATATGTGTGTGATGTATAATTATTTGTATGTACAGTACATATCTACGGTTCTATATATCTTTGATATGCAAAACTAATAACATAGATACGCATCGATATATATATATATAGATTCATTCTTATAGTCTTACATAGTGATACAGATAACATTTTTCTGTTGACTCTATGGAAGATCTGGGGATCTCTGTCTATATGTTAATATTTAGTGTATATGCATATCATATCATTATATATATATGGTACAATGATAGATAATCAATGGTATCCACATACCCTGTCCACCAAAAAGTCAGCGATGTTCACAGTCTCCTCGTGAATTGTTGCCAGATCACGAACTTTCGGGGATTTCCCTTTCATCATGATGGCAACATTTCCCATCATATCTCCATATCCCCAAGAAAATCCGGATTTGAGCTGGCTAAATCCGTAAAATCCTCCATGGAAATCCTCCATTCATAGGGTCCATGTATGGTATATATATGCTAACATAAAGGGTGTATATTGATGGGATCCATGGAGCACCATATATAGCAGCACCATGAATCCGTCATGGGCCATTCATCCCCCTTTTCCGTTGCTGAATCCATGGGGAACTCCTGGGAGCCGGAGCAAAGTTACGGGCCTCGAGGCGCCCATGGCTGCAATCTCCGAAGAGGAGTGGATGGTCCTCAAGGCGTCGTCACGGCCCGGGGTTCAAATATGATAACCCTCTGGTAAACTAACATAGCCATGGAAAATGGCCCATTTATAGATGGTTTACCCATTAAAAATGGTGATTTTCCATGGCTATGTTAAATAACCGGATGGTAACCCTCTGGTAAACGTTTACATATAGCTATTGAAAATGGCCCAGTCGAGATAGTTGATTTCCCAATGAAAAATGGTGATTTTCCATAGTTATGTAAACGTTTACCAGAGGGTAATCCCTTCCCCCTAACCATTAAACAATAGTATGATATTTGGGAAGGATGATACCATTCGATATATGGGAAGGGATACATCATAATCATATATATATATTTCCTCATTGGGAGAAACATCTCGTACCATTTGATGGTAATCCCGGATGATATTCCCATATATCCCTATAGTGAGATACTATTGAAGGAGGATAATCCCTTCCCCCGTTCATATTAAACGTCCTCTAAATAAACGAAAGCATGGTAAATCGTAGGGGAATTTCCACATTCCATTGGGACCATGCACAATTGGGGTGTTTAATATTGGGGTGATGGGATTAGCTATGTCAAATGGGTGAAAATTAGCTATGTCATATTACATCATTATTTCATATTAGCCCATAGCTATGTTTACATCATAATTCCATATGGGGTAGTATAATAACCCCGTGCATTGCATTTTAGCTTGGCTTGCACTTTAACACTGCCAATACGTTGCCGGCCCAGAAAACGATAAGAGGAAAAAAACGATAACGATGCTCATATATATATATATTTTTTTTTTATAATATATATAATAATATATATACATACATGATATGAGGTACGGTCAAAACTCGATCTGGTATATTACTTATGTAAGGAGAGTTCTCGGGTGTCAGGAACTTGCACAAAACACTATGTAGCGATAGGCTCCCCCCCAAAAGCGATACCTGCAATTGAGAATAAACGTTGGCAGCTCCATGGGATTGGACCAACTTGCTGAGTCTCATGTGTTTTGTTGCCCGCAGTCGTTTGCATGGACTACGAAAATGAGAACGTGCAGAGGGGACCAAAACGATAACGAAACGATAACGAAAACGATAAGGAATTGTAGCAAAAAACATGCCGTGTGAGCAACTACCCATTTGACAGGTTTCACGAGGCTTTTTGAAAACAGAAATGTGTGGCATGGTAGTCTTGTTTAGCTTTTCCTCTTTACCGGCTTTGCCTCAACTTGGCTTCTGCCATGTCTTTACCACCCAAGACTGTCTATGCCTTGCTGCAGCAAGTTTTGAAAGATCCTGAAGTCGGACCTGGTGCAATTTCAGAAGCAAAAAAGCAATGTCCCGGACTCCTTGCCCTAATCTCATAGACCAAAAAAAGAGTTGCAGAAAACTAGTCAAGTGCTGAGATGCTTCACGATTATGATCCATGTCGAAGATTGCACACAGGACAATATGTTTTGATCTTCCACGAACAATTCTTTCACACCCATGGAAGCCTGGTAAATTCACACTTCTTGTCTACAGGGAGCTCACCACCTGAGAAAACGATAAGAGGAAAAAAAACGATAACGTGATTTTGGGTAATTTAAAAAGATACGGGGTTTTTATACAACCCCATATTAAGTACATGATTACCCATAATATTGGTAGTAATATGGAAAAATGATGTAATGAGTCAATCCATAGTGGATATTCCATGACGCACTGTCAAAAAAGTCTACCCTGAACAGCGAGTGACATGACTGGAAGCCATGTCAAATGCTATGGGGGATTGACATAGCAATGGGGGCTCAAATAGCCTCTGGTAATTTGTTAGGGAAGCCATGGGCCATTGATGATATATCTATTAGACATATTTAGACATGGTGCTTTTCCATATACTGCTTGGTGGTTTGGAACATGAATGTTATTTTTCCACATATTGGAAATAATACTCCCAACTGACTAATATTTTTCAGAGGAGTTGAAACCACCAACCAGTAAAGTCTCAGTATGGGTCTTACTTTTCCATATGTACAGAAGTGGCATTGGTGAAGCTCATTTTGTGGTGTCCTTGACCATCGAGCACTGGCGAATGTTTCACCATCGAAAACAAATGTTTCAACCATGAAAAAAACTATCTTTAACCATGAAATAAACATCAAAACATCGAAATTCCGATGATGAACAAGTGAATTTATCCATGATACCCGGTGTCTTGGGGGATGGGAATAGTCAATCCATTTTCATAATGATTTATGGATTCCCATGAGGTTGGGATTCCCATGAAATGGTGATGAAAGATTGTTTACCAATTAAACATGGTGATTTTCCAGAGTTAAAAGGAGAACCAGTGAATGTGGGTTTGATATGGTTTGATGTTTTAACTATCAAGTATGGCACTATACATCAATGAAGTTGGATGTAATTTGTATATAACGTTGTGTTGATGCTTGATGGTCGATTGGTTTAGGAAACACCGGGCTTGTGAACTCGAAACCCTACTTAAGGTTTATGGATGTTTATTGGGGATGATTCGAAGCCTCAACAGGTCTACCTACTTATCAAGCAGTATTTTATGGGACCGGATACGGGAGGACTTGAACGAAATGTTCGATCACCTCTCTGGGAAAAACATCAGAACGGAACAGCCTGATGTGTGTCTGCAAACTGTGTGTAGTGAACAAGAAACATAAGTATATACAGTAGCTACTAGGATGAAGTAGAATTAAAATGTATTAAACATGTACATACATGTATACTAACACATACTAACTTTCGGATTAACTAGCATATTGCAGGGTAACAACATGTAACAACCGCGCGTCCATCCGAGGGCGTCAGCGGTACCAGCGCTACTCAAAGATGGCACCGGGAAATCCCCAGAAAATCATCGGTGATTGCTGCAGTTATGGCCATGGCTACCAGTTATAGCTGGTTATTTCTATGGGAGTTATGGCCATAACCAGTACAAATGGGATTATACATTCTATAAATGGGATTATACATTCTATAAATGGGATTATACATGACCTATAAATGGGGTGACTTGTTAGTACTTATAACTGATAGCCATGGCCATAACTGTGGAGGGTAAATGGGAAAGAAATGGGGAGCTTCGAGAGGTGCGTTTCCCAACCACATGATGGGCAGTCTCGGCTCTGCTGTGTATGGTTTCGGTCAACAGCTCGCTGACTTGATAACCACAGCATCTACACTCGACAAACAATCACTCTGCGATGTTATGAAAAGTTACTACCCATTCTTCTCGTTGTTGCGAGTGTTTCCATCTGTCTTTGCTAAATACCCAACCCCTTCGGACCATTTGTTGATCCGATCTGGAAGGATTGGTCCTTGAAGACGCCGGGCAAGAAACTTGAGGTGCCGAACTGGCTGGGAACTGGCCCATTCGGAGATCCAACGGGCCACCCAGGGAACTACGTAAGGCCAACACTTATTGTGGCTATAAACCAACCGAAACCTATCTTTGGGGGCCCCTACTGTATATCAGGAAAAGCTTGTTTCATAGAAAACCAAGAATTAATCCTTAAGGCTTTAGAACGTGGCAGCCACTGAATCCCACTTCAATCTAAGTTATATATTCCAGCTGGAGTTGGGGAATAAATCTGTGGTTGATGAAGCTTCCAACCGTAGCAGGAAATGGCAAGTTATGATTGGCAGGTCATGGGGTTGAGAGCGGCACTGGTGTATTGAAGCTGCACTGACGAAAGGAGCTTCTTGCTAGCCAAAATCCTCTGCAGCATTTTGCAGCTCAAACTTTGCGAGTTTCAGATTCCAAGCCGTCGAAGCCCCTCTGGATATGGCACTCCTGAAGTCTTTCGTTGTTCTTTCTGCTTGGAGCCTTGCTGAAGCATTGGCTCCAGGAGATTGCGCCTTCGTTGGAATCTACGGCGACAATGACGACTTTGCCCTGGTGTTGATGGAGGATGCCGATGGTGAGAGCATCTCTTTGACTGAGGGATCTCCTTCTGACGCCGACTTTCACATTGACCATTGGGCCACTGCCAAACACTACGTGAGTGACTTCACCAGGGGATCTGTGTTGAAGAGGTCGGACTTCCAGACAGATACTGCATCCTTCTTGGCACCTACGGCCCTCAGCGCCTTCAAGGGAAGTGCTGAGTCTCCAACAGTGCTTTGCAGCATCATTTTGGAGAGCCGACCCGTGGCTCGCAAATTGCAGAGCGTGGTGATGCTGAGCTCCATGGAAACTGCTGAGTACTCAGGACCCACCAGCGGCAGCAAGATGGAGTTGCTGGAGGAAATCAACAAGCCAAGCAACTGGCTCCAGTCCCAACGTCGCCTCCAAGCCTTCAGCATCGCCTCCGGCAATGCCACCACGGTGACCGTCACCACCACGGTGACCGTCACCACCACGGTGAGCGTCACCACCACGGTGAGCGTCACCACCACGGTGTCGCTCGTCGATGAGAGCGCCGCTGCTGGCGCTGCCGGCAGCATCTTGGGAGCCTTGATGGTGGTGGCTGCCATGGCATAGGCACCAGACGGTCAGCCCGGTGGCTGCCCGGTGGCTGCCGGTGCAATGACTGCATGTTTTGTACCAAAGGTACTTGTCGCACCACGCAACAGATCTCTTTTCTATGGCAAGCAGCTGGAAAGCTGTGTTGTGCCGCTTTTGCTACGGTCTTTTGTCTCACTTAGAGGCTGATCCTTTTGCAAAATCCTGGAGTGTCTAGAAGTTGTTTCTCCAGATTTTCCAGCATTCCGGTGCTGATTCTTGGTCCGCATGTACTGACATCAGAAAAAGTGTGGCAGCTTTCCTAGGGCATCAGCTCGAGGTCACATCATTTTAATGGGAATGAACCATCTTGAAGTTGGTAAGCAGATGAGTGAAATTGATTGAAATTGGACAAAAAAATCGCTGGACCTGTCGCTATGGCTATAATCCTAGCCTTTAGTGGTTTCGGGTTGGGTTGAATCTACCAAGCCATGATCAGTTGATGGATGAACGGTGGGTGACCACTGGTGGCCCTTGTTGCAATCTTTATAATACACATGTATCAGATGATGGAGGATGATATATTTATATATACACATATTTATAGATAGATAGCATGATATATGGTATATATTTAATATAATATATATATAATATAGAATGTATAGAATGTATAGAATATATAGAATATATAGAATATATAGAATATATAGAATATATAATATATATATATACATACATACATACATACATACATAAGTACGTACATACATACATACATACGTACGTACATACATACATATATATATATTTATACATAATATATAAACCATAAATATGATCATACAGTATGATATTAACACGAAAACTAAGAATTAATAACATATACTTATACAAATCACGTAGCATCCATAAAATGGCTCTCACTCTCTCTCTCTCTCTCTGTTTACAGGGTTATGTTTAATAAATAGACATAGGGAGAGAGATGCAAATGGGAATCGGCAAGTCATGGATCAGGCGAAGACCGCCCCAAAGCCGCCGTCTTCTTTCGCGAAAGCCACAGCCTTGGATCTCCGGATGTTTCCCACGGCGTGGCCCATGTTCCAAGGGTTGCTGCACGCAGATGAAGCAGAGAAGCCCAGAATACCCCAGATGGCAGTTCTATGCAGTTCTTTTCTAATTCTAAAGTGAAGAGTTAATTTTAATGGCATGTACAGCTCTATTTTTTACCTCATAGCTTTCCAAGACGGACTAAACTCACTAGAAATTTTCTAGTCTTCGATCAGGGCACATGATTCCCCCTGTCGGATGGATGAATACTTGTATCATTGTATCGTATCCAGTAGTATCCATATTACTTGGTATCACCAGAATTCAAATGGATGTACGTGAATGGTATTATAACCTCAACCAAGCCTAACTATTGTTGGACATTAGTCGTTGATAATTATCCAATCAACTGTAAACCATGAATCATTGGATATATCAATTGAAAACACACCAGTTACCCTCTGGGAAACGTTTACATAGCTATTGAACATGGCCCATTTAATACTGGATTTACCTATTGAAAATGGTGATTTTCCATAGTTATGGGAAACCTATAGTGGATTTAACCTATGGGAAAGCCATTACCTATAGTGGATTTAACCTATTTTTTATATAGTTTACCAGGCCGGGTAACACTTTGCTGATGCACCCAGCGCAGCATCAGCAGCTCAGCCTCCGAGACCGCGATTGATGGATCGCCACACGTCGACATCGTGGACGCTGCACATGAGGCGTTCGGCCAAGATTTCGCATGGTTTTACTCTCTGGTTGTTGAACATAGCTATGGAAATCACCATGTTTAATGGAAAACTATGGAAAATCACCATTTTTAATGGAAAACTATAGTAACTATAGAAATCACCAGGTTCAAAAACGGTAAATCATCATAAATCCTCTGAATGGGCTATGTCCAACAGGTTTGTTAAATCACCAGAGTACTTCATGTTTTTGTGTTGGTCGCTATCCATATGCGGATATTCACCGGCTGGTTTTGTTGCTAAGTTTGCTCCGACGATTCACAACACCCATGTGGATCACCAGTACCATTATGACCTTGTTTCGAAAGCATAATTTTGTATATGTTTGTATCATCCAATAAGGCAAGAGTTGCAGACATAGAAATATATTATGATGTGTTGCCGCGCTGTCATTGCAACCAACTTTGACTTTGACTTATGTTATTTGACTTGTATGTCTTGTGGCTGCGTCAACCTATTTATCTCAGATGTGGTTTGAAGGAACATTCTTATAGCTAAGCCTTCATAGGAAAAGCAAGAACAAGTTATCTAACATGTTTATTTCCCTTGAGTCAAGCAATGACATATGTAGCAACCAAATCAGGCTATATAACCAGCTATATAACGGGTATATCACTTGCCAACTCCCCCCAATGGCCCAGTCGTTGTTCACCAACAACGGGTTGATGGATTCAGAAGAGGATGTTCCATGCAAGTTAATGTAAACCCCTGATTAATAAACCATGGTCTATTCATATCATTTATCTCTTAAATCAGGGGTAATTATACTTCCCCAAGAGTCATTCCGATACTTCAATGCTACCCCCCCTAACTATAAATAGCCGTTTGGGGTTTATTCATCCAGGGTTGGAGGAACCATTTTACGCCAGTTATGGCCATGGGATGCTCCCACGACGCGGCGGCTTCAGGTCGATGGCAGTGATGAGGCCGATGGCCCCTGACGTTGGACGTGGATTCAGGTTCACCCATTTTAACGGTAGATTACGAAATTTTCACAGAATTATATTAAAATGGACATTGTATATTGATATGTATATTGAAATGTATATTAATGTATATAAGATACAAATAGATACAGTGTCAACCATTAATTACTAGACTTTTGGTAGCCATAAACCAAGAGAAACCCAGCTCTTTAGCTTCTAAGGTGTAGTTCCATTCCAAACCCCAAGGCCTCAACAAAAGTTGAGAGGTTCATCAATGCTGCAGAGATTTGAGTATCCAAATTGGTTATATGTTACATGTAATCATATATTTATTGATCATAGTATAAATTATAATCCTACATACATATATATATACATATATATATATTATTATATATATATTATATTATATATATATATATTATATTATATATATATATATTATATTATATATATATTATATATTATTAATATATATTATATATTATTAATATATATTATATATCATATATATATGTATATTGCATCTATTACATCTGTTACTAAGTAGTTGTGCATGTGGTGAAGCATTTTTTTTTTAACATCGGGCACCTTGCAGGAACCGGAGCTCTCGCCCGATGAGGATCGGGCCCTTGAACGCGGCGGGCTTTATCATGCTTTATCTGGCTAAGTGGAGGGACAGGGTTATAGATATCATGTATTCATATGCCCTATGGATCCAAACACTGTCTGAGAAGGTACTTAACCCTCCAAATTATAGTAAATTATACCCCAAACACTTCCTAAGCAGGTACTTGGATCCATAGGGATGTATTCCTCTTGTAACTTAACATAGCTATTGAACATGGCCCAGTCGAAATAGTTGATTTACCCGAGGCGTAACATGGTGATGTTCCGGTCTCCAAGAGGAGAATCTGCCCTTGATCTATAGAGGCCTTATAGCTGCGAAGCATGGTGCTGGTACCCGGCCTGGTAAACATACAAAAAACCATGGAATATCACCATTTTTGATGGGAAAATCCACTATAAATTGCCATTTTCAATAGCTTTTTGTATGTTTACCAGAGGGTATATGTTCCTACAAAACTGGATAATTTTGGACAAGGGCAAATGGGTTGGGATTCATATTCCACCATGGCTCGCATATGGGATATGGTAGGTACCTCCAATAAATATCAATCGATCGGTTCCTGAAATGGTCATGGATATTTGGCCGTCCACTGCTTGCAAGCACTCGATTTTGGCCAGGACTCTCTCTTTGAGGTCGATGAGGCAACGGAAATGGGTGGGGAGGGACACCCCAATGTCTAGTCGGCCATATACCTAGACCCCCAATATTAATTTAGAAAAAATGGAAAGCAAAAGCAATTCGGATTGGAAAGAAAAAGCAATTCGGGGTGAAATGCAGATTGTTATGCGTAAATCATGGTAAATCAGTGCTGTTGAGTTTGGGGTTTTGGAGGAGTCAACAATTTGGGGTTAGTTGGGATGCTGAGTATGATCATCAAATGGGGAGTTAAACAGCCAAGCTATCCCAAAATTTCATTGGGTAGTTATGTAGCCAGCCGGACCCGAAGAAGCAATTTGTACCCTCACAGGACGCAGGCATTTTATTGGTTCAAACCGGCCTAAAGTCAAATGAGTCGAATGTTGAAAGGATCGGAAGCGGAAGGATTTTCCTTGGATATACTGGTATGTATATAGTTATATATATATAATATACTGATGGAATTCTATACTTTGTCCACTCTTTGATTGAGGATTTCGCACCCTAAGATCTTCATGTCCTCCCTGATCATTTCGCCAATGATCCAGCTCCTTTGGGCCTGGCCCCCACGACTTATTGCTTTGAAGTTTGGATCCTTGAAGTCAAATCTAGGCTTTGCGGAATATGTCAGATATGTTCCGATCATTTCAGATACATATTTCATTGATGTACAATCAATCATATCGAAGAACAATATATGATGAAACCATTGTTAGTTGTCAAATCCAATTCTTCAATGTTTGTGTGTAATCAAATACAATACCATGTAATCTTCATTGTTGCATATTGTTACCATATCGCTCGCTTTGACGGTGAGGCGTTGCTGCAAGAAGCGCGGCAGGTGCTAGAGGAGCAGCCGAGTAAAGCAGCCGGTGGTTGTTACTTTGGGATGCAGTATTTGGGTATACCCCTTGGTAAACTAACATAACTATGGAAAGAACATCACTTCTAATAGGTAAAACATTGATAATATCATATAATTAATGTGAGTCAAACCATTTCATAAACCATTCCCCAAATCACCATAATAATAAATTGGTGGTATGTTTACCATTCCCAACTAGCTGGTTTATGGAATTGTTTCACCCACATTAATAAAATATCGGTGAATACCTTCTGATAGTTTAATATAGCTATGGAAAATGACCCATTTTACTGTGTAAATCAATAAAAAATGGACTCTTACCCGGTATGGATAGCTATGTTAAATTACTAGAGGGGAATCAGTCCTAATGTTTTTGTTTCATGATTTTCAGTGGTTGAGAATGAGTAGTATCAATGGATATGACTGGTTATTAATGGGTATAACTATGGTACAGTAATGCATTATCCGCTTATAGGTGGAACTGCATACCAAAGTCCCTCTAGTAATTTCACATAGCCATGGCAAATTATCCATTTGCAGATGGTTTACCTATAAGCATGGCCGTTGTCCATGATTTGGCTGCGTTAGAGTAACACATCGTAACCAATTTAATAGTCATTTCTATGGTTAAAAAGCATTGTAATGTTGAGGCCAACCTATGAGTAACCGATATTTTTTTGGTAATACTAATTTAGTCTTGCTTGCTTCAGCTTGGCCTTTCCGAGGTTGCACAAAACCTTCACAACCGATACAGTAGGGGACGACCCTATACCGATACCCTATTTGTGATACCTCCGGGAATACTGAAATCCTCACAAGCGATAGGGGACGACCCTAATTTGTGCATGGCATTAACTTTAACATCGAACTTTGTCCGCTACTCATATATTGAACTAACCAACAAGTGGGAGTTTAACCAACCATGACCGGTCTGTCCAGAAATCAATGGTGATTTCTGTTTTCTGCTTTTCAACAGGTGGATTTACCAACAATGGGAGAATCATGGGTTGTACCCTGAACTAGTCCTGAGTCCAGAAATGCCGGCATAGAACCACCGGGATACAATGGGGACATCGTATTTTTGATGGCGTGGGATAGAATGGGATCTTGTAGCAATATGATTCCTGATTGTTCAGAAACGGGGATTCAACCCACCAAATAAGTTATGTTTACCAACCGCAATGGAGTTACATCACGGTTCACATAGCCAGCATGATGGGTCCGGTATACCGTAAGCCCCACAAAAAGTGAAGTTGTCCAATTTGGTTTTGGAATGTTTAGGACTTATGTGGCAACATGAAACATCATCTCATAGTTCTTGGTCTTTGACTTTGATAGCTATCGATCATAAGAAACCATCTCAAGCATCAATTCCATATCACCTGCCGACTAAGGCCATATTTTGTGGGGATATTCCTGACATTTAGCCCATACATAGGCCTTACATATATGGTAGATACATGTAGATACCTCCAATAAATCGGTGGCCAGAAAGAGCCCCTGGACTTCGTAGGAGTTGAAGCAGCCGCAATCTGGCTTGGATGGCCGGGACCGCCTGGGGTTGGATTTGACCGTCAAACATGAGGATGTTTGTTATGAGATACCCTCTGGTAAACTAACATAACTATGGAAAATCACCATTTTTAATGGGAAAATCCACTATAAATGGCCATTTTCAATAGCTATGTTAAATTACCAGAGGGTATCTATGAGCATAGTATAAGATTGTATAAAGGGGATGTAGAACCAACGTGAAGCAAAAGTTGGACTGTATAGGTTATTCCATATTGGGAGATGGTTAACCATGGTTAACCCAAGCTGGTGTTAATGTACCCATATTAACAGAATCCCATGATGGTGGAATGACTCATTCACCTCATTCGCTGGGTCCATGGAACCGGTTTTTCTATTCAACTCATCCAGCATTTGATGTTTGGTTTGCACTTGGGCTGTTTGTCAGAACTACATGAAACTACAACAACTGGCCCTTTCCCAGATCATTTTCTATGGTTCTATGGTTGTAAATGGGGTTCTCATTCCATAAATGGGCTGACTTACTGACTTACAACTGAGGCCACAACTGTACCATACAAGCAACTCACAAATGAAGAGGTGTGACTCTGATCCTTTGCTAATTGACACCAACTGCAGCCCAGCCCATTGGGGACGTATCGTGGGGTCTCTTGGGCACCGACCCAAGGCTGTCAGAACATCTGGGTCCTGAAGCCTGCGGGTAAAAGTCGAGGAGACATGAGCTGGGGCTGGGTGTTGTTTCGTACTAAAACGATGTGGGATTCACTCAATGCCATAAACCATCCCTAGTATGACCATAAATGGGTTGTGAAACTCCATCCCCAGTCACGGTAGGTTTAGAGCAGCCAGGGTGAATCCCAGATCTTCCAACTGTTCCCTTTCCATTGGTTGACAGAGGTATGTCCCCCATTGAAGACGCAGGTTTGAAAGGTAGCCCCCGTAGTTATGTTATATGTTGATTTATTTATATCCTATATGATCTATAGTTATAATATGTTGTAATTGCCATAAAAATCCTAATTATACTAGCTATAATATACCAACCGAGCTGTCTAGGGGGCGGCACCTTCTGGGAATGGGTTTGCAGCATCGCTTAAATGGTACAAGCGGAACCCATGTGTTTTTCGCAGGACAACATGGATTTCATGCCTACGAAAATGACATATCAACATATACCATCATCATACCCAGTTTTTGAACTTCAGCCTTTAAAAAATGATATGTTTTCCCAAGGTTACCATTTAAGTATGAGATAAAATGACTATTGGAGGACTAGCCATCTAATTTTCATAAACCATGGTTTAGTCTCATCCGGGCTTGACATGAACAACTTAACTGGTTAGTGCTTTGGAACATGTTTTTATATGTTTCCATAATATATGGTGAACATAATCCCAACTGACTTTCATTTTTTTGATGATTAAATCATCATGAACATCACTGGTTGGTGGTTTCAATCCCTCTGAAAAAAACATTAGTCAGTTGGGATGATTAACATTTCATCCCAATTGACATTAATCTTAACAACTCTACCATCATTTTACCCACTGCCTCAGGCCGTGGCATTCAGCTCTCAGGGCGCCTGGAGAAGATCCAGGAGGTGGCACTGGGCCGTGGCGCTGAGGCGCCGCTGAGCGAATCGGTGACGGATGTGTGACCGGGGGATGTTTGCTGGGAAAAATGGCTGGAGTTGGATGGATTTCTTGCAGTTTGATAGTTGGTTTATGACTTTATGAGGATGTTAGATTATTCTTCGTTTTTTTTTGGGGAAAACAATGGAAACCCGAACATTTCGTATGATTTACGTGGTTTAGCATGGTTTAGCCCCAAATTGAGTTGCTATTTGGATGAAAATGAGAGGTGTTGGCTCAAAATGTCGCCAGGTTGATGTGGAAAATTGTTTTTTATGAACCATGATGCACCTGGTTTGAAACTATGATACACCCCCAAGTTATGGTTACTTCTATGGCGAATTGATGTGTTTAAACTATGGTTCCTAGTATTCAGGGGGTGAATGGGATGGACCCGGTTTTATCGGTTTATCTGATGATCTCCGGAGATATTGAACAATACCATCCACCAATGTTCAATGATCAGATTGGTACTTTGCTAGGACATGGAACTGTCAAGTGCTGACGTAACATGATCCAGACCATCCACCCGGTCATTCTCCGTGAATGACCGTGGTAGCCTCTGGTAATGACTGTTACATAACTATGGTAACTATGGAAAATCACCATAGAAATAGGAGATTTTCCCATGAAAAATGGTGATTTTCCATAGTTATGTAACAAATTACCAGAGGGTACCACGGACATGGACAATTCTTTGTGAAGGACTTGTTCTGCTGTTTGAGGGATTCGGGGTCCTCCGGTCTTCACTAGAATATCAATCCGAGTCCAAGAATTGTCAAGATAAAGACCGATACTTTCCATGCCAGAATTGTTAAAGGATGTTAGAGAGAAAAAACATTATATAAATGAAAGAAACAATCAAGAGTTGATAGCAAAGAGACATGACATGACTTAAGACATGAATGTAACTTTGGGCTTGAAGCTGGACCCACGGGTCGTTCCAAGATCATGACAATTCATGATAAAGTGATCAGATGATCCGATCAGATGGCTTCATGAGTGGGAAATTTCATGCGGTCGCAGCCTAGGTCAGACCAGTCAATGGACCGATCTCTTGCGTAGAAAACAACGTTTCGAGACGAAGTGCGTAGAGACTAAGAGTTGAACTGGAGACTGAGAAATTTGATGTGGTACATCCAACCATGTTATACCAACTGCACAAGTTCTTCAAATCTGATTGGTTTTATCACATTCACTTGGCTTTGGAAATTTGAAGCACCCACCTGCCAAGCACACACCCCACCCAAACCACCCAAGCCACCCAAGCCACCCAAGCCACCCAAGCCACCAAAGCCACAGCCTTGGGCCTTAGCGACATCAACAGAAAAACACAAAGCACTCCACGGTCAAGAGCGTCCGCCATGAGCGACGATGACTCAGAGGTTTTGATCACCAAAGTGCGGGAACTCGGTTGCGGGAAAAGTGGGAGATGCCGATTCAGATTTGAGCACAAAGTGGGCAGAACATCGCAGAACCATGCAGAACCCATTTTTTAATGGGATCTTATGGAGTTCCATGTTTTCTGACCGTGATTGTTCTTGCAAAGCATAAGTTGTTGACCTAGACCATCACAGTAAATAGCGTGACTTGTTATATTGAGCTTTTGTTTAGACTGGAGTTGTTGACAACAACCATAGAGCCATAGAAGTTTAAGACGTGTAACTGTAAGCCATCATACATTGAATGGAAACCATGACCCCATGTGGAAGATGATTTTCCTCTGGCGCATTTTCCCTGAGCATGGATATGCTGAGCTGTGCCGGAGGAGAAAAAAGCGAAAGACAAGAAAAAAGAGAAGAAGATGAAAGGAAAAAAGAGGCAACTCGGTCTTTGTTGGTCTTTTATTGTCAGATTAGCAGTCAGTTTGTTTTGAAGAAATTGTTCAACGGTTTGTCTTGAAATTTTGAAATAGGGTACAGTGGAATGCTAAAGTCGTGCCTAAAATTTGGAAATCATCGTAAATAGCTGGGGAGCACTTGATTTGAAAAGTCGTGCCTTTTTAGTAAAACGCATAGGAATTGCAATGTTTTGTTGGATTTGGTCTTGCATCAAGAGTACCTTTTCCACATTGTTAATAAATCTTGCGTTTAGGTTGTGTTTAGCATCAAGAGTAACCTTTTCCATACCAAGTCAAACTGGATGTGAGTGTAGCGATGAGTTGGTGTTTCTATCTTTTTCTTTCCAGTGTGCTGCGGCAGCCATTTTCACTTTTCACTGCGTGCTCAACGCGGCATTGTGGTTCCGCAGGCGTGTGGGCAGAGAGCCTTTCTTGTTATTTTTTGACGTCGTTTGCTACGTCGTTCGGACGTCGTTCGGCACGTCGTGATTTCAAAAATAGGAAACCTATAGGAGAGGTTGGTTGTTGTGAATCACGGATGGCAGAGCGAAGCCACTGATGGACCGAGAGCAGCAAAGCGAAAAGAGTCAGCAAAGCGAAAAAAGTCAGCGGACCGAAGCGGCAAGTATTTCTCAACCCCAGAAACATGAACGGTAGAATGCAACCGTAGACGGATTTTTGCGAACATTTGATTTTCCCAAGTGTGGAAACATTCTTCTTATACATACGCGATTCCATGGTGTTTTAAGATTTGGGCATGACTTAGGCATGAGTTTCTTGAAACAGCGATTCCATGGTGATTTACTAGCAAGTTTTGACCCAGGCATGAGTTAGGCATGAGTTTGTCGTTTGACTGTATATACCCCAAACATGTGAGGCTTCATCATCACTTTCACCGTTAAAATGGCCAGTTGAGGCTATATCCCCTATTTTCAGTCCAACCATCATGGGAGAACCTGATCTCAGAACAGCAGAAGAACATGTAGGGAAATCCCTATGTTTGATGGCGATAACTTAAAACATGTGATACAGTGACAGCCATGGTTTTCTGTTGACAATTCCGTGAACTCAACCCATTGAGAGGAAGAGTTCCTCCTCAAGTTCATCCTCAAGTTCGTCCTCATCGTCTTCGAGTTCATCGAGTTCTTCTGACAAGAAGAAGCAACTTGGAACAGATCGTGGGTCGGGCCAGATCTGTATATGCTGACGAGATAAGTTTTGAGGGATCTGCAGAAGCTCATTTGATGGGAATCCTGTCATAGCCTGCCCTCAACCAGTGAATAGCATCGATCCGCAAGACGTTGTGAAACTGCAACAGTTTTGGTATTTGGACCCAGTGGAAACATGTCTGATTTCTGAATAATATTTTTTTTTTGGATGAAGCTGGTAAGGATCACCTAAGCCTACGCAGGAACTTGATTTTCAGATATAATCATGACTTTTGGGGGTAGCAGGTCTCATGTCAACAGGATGGCGGTGATCATTCGAAACCGGATCACATTGGAGGTGCCCTCGGGTAATCAAACATGGCAATGAACCATTCCCAATGTCCAAATGATCTGGTTGGTGATTTGGAACATGAATGGATTATGACTTTCCATTTAGTTGGGAATTTCAGAAAATCCCAACTGACGAACTCCATGATTTTTCAGAGGGGTAGGTAGGTCAACCACCAACCAGAACAGCTCCGTTTATTTCGAGGATTCCCAGCTAGCCACGTTTACCGGATGCAATGAGCTGTATGGAGTGGCTGGCTCAGGAAAAAGGATAAGAAAGACAAAAAAAACAAGAAGGACAAAAAGGACAAAAACGCAGTGGGAACCATGAGAAACTATGAGAAATCCTGATGTTTCCTGTTTGGAATGGAGTTCTAGTTAGCTGTGTGGCCGGTTCTTGCTGGATGGATATGTATCACGGTTTATCCGATAAATATTCTAGAACAAAAGACAACATATAAATACATATTATGTAATATCAGTGCCATTTTGTTGGGTGATAACTTTGAAACAATTGTTACTGTCCATCCAACAAATGTGTTTGTGTGTGTGTCAATGTTCCATTCCATTCCAAAAACTACAGGAAGCTCTTATTATAGTGATAGTTTTAAAGCACAATCGACGGGGAGGTTGCAGTTGATATTGAACCACAATGATCTTGAGTATCTTGAGATGATCATTCTCAAACTTTGAAGATCACAAGAGACCAGCTATCATATGAGTTTATTCAGATGCTTAATGTTGGTTTGTGCATGTTGCGCCAGTTTTCACAGAAGTCTGGAACCAGTCAGACTTCCTCAACGAGTTGGTCTTGGTAAAGATCCTTTAAGTTTTGGGATTGACTTACAGCTGCACTGGTGTGTATGTGTATAATATATATATATATACATACCATGGTTATATATGTAAACATTGGTCAGAATTCAGACCTAGGGTAACATGGGAAACCACGTTTCGGTGCAGCTTCAAGTGCAAACCTTCCTATTACCATCCGACAATGACATCACATAGCTATGGAAACTTGCTCATTTATCAAATTCATCGCCGACCCACACCCACAAAAGCACCGCTTTTCAGGAGAAAGAGAAAAAGTCAAAGAAAGAAAAGAAGGACCGAGGGAGAAAAAGCCTGGTAGGGAAGCCATTGTCCAGACCCTCCACTTGGGGGTGCAGGTATAACCATGGGATTTTCAGTACCAGTTGGGCTCCAGGCAAACTAGTGCAACTGCACCTCCAAGCACCTGTAGAATGAGGGACCATGTTTCACAAGGGATGGGACGGAGCACACCAGACATCACAACACCATCCATTTGGGTGTGGGAATTGCCATATCCAGATGGAGCTTGAGTCTCTTGAGTGGATCTTCGAAGTCAAAATTCAGTGGGACTGAATTTTGAAGCGGATGGGGATGCTATTATGATGATCCCCAGAAAAATTGACATTCAAGGTTTTTCAACCGCCAATCAGCCATGGTTTCTTTCGATGTTTCACAGGAAGAAAAGAGAGCCAAACAGCTCGAAAAGCAGGCGAAGAAGCAAGAAAAGAAGGAACCTGCAAATCCGCCGGGATGACTGGATGGGGAGAAAATCTGAGAAATCCACTCCGAGAAGACCTTAAGTGCTGGCAAGACATTTGCTGCAGTGGAACATGGACCCAGGATGACCCAGGTACACCCGGAAAGTGGTCTAGGTTTACTTTGCTTAAAGTGGTGCTATTGAGTAATCCTCCGAAAGACCTTGTGGTGGTATCTACTTCCAAGAGGGGCCCATTCAATTGCTTCGTTATTTGTGCCTTGCAAACCTGAAATTAGGACTAAGTTCACCCCGTCCTGAAGCGTCACGTTGGCAACAGGTCTCCTGAAGCCATTACAGTCGCTTTCCACCCCTCAGGACGACAAGATACTTTAACAAGGCACTTGTTTGTCAAATAGTTTGCTTGGGATGAGTAGCTCACAAATATTCACAAATTCTCCATGGCTTAGTCTGTGGAGAAAGCACAAAGTTGACTTAGCTTGGGTTCTTTGGTTAGGATTTGATCGAATCTTCCCAGCCCCGGTTCCAGGAGAAGAAGAGGTTGAAGATGGAGGCGGAACGACAGAAGCAGCTGGAAGAAGAAGCCAGGATGAAGGCAGCACGACGTTGGCCTCCAGCTGAATTTGAGAAGCAAAAGATGCATAGGTCCTATAGGTTTCCATAGGGAATCCCCAACATTTAGTTGGTTCATAATGGATAATCCATGAACATCCTATATAGATGATGTAGGGGTACCCACATTTTCGGAAACCTCTGTATATCCCTTGCAGCAGGATTTAAGCAACGGAGCTGGGTGGTGTCTTGGAACAGTTGGAAAACTGGAATTCTGTGCAGGATTTCAGTTGTGGTATATCACCTTCTGATATTGCAGGTGCTGTCTTCAAATTGAAATGTCAAGGGAAGGAGGCAGAATCCATTGAGCAGCAACTGCTTTGCAGGCACAGCTTGAAGCCATTGAGATGGAGAAACAGAAGGAAAGGGAGGCATGGGCGGTTTCGTTTTTCGCTGGGTTTTTCTCTTCCGCTTGGTGGGTTCAAACATGGAGGTTTCTATGTCATGGGTGTACCCCCAAATCATTTTAGTTTTAAAACCTATAGTTTTGGGGATCCGCCATTTTTCAGAAACCCCCATATGTCTTGTCTTCAGCATCTTTTGAGAGATCTCCATTTAGGATTCGGATTCGGATGATGATGATGATGATGATCGCAGTTGACTCTCGATTTCTCAGTGGGGATGACACGCAGTCATGTTGCATGCTCAAAAGGGCCTTGGGGTCCAGACCTTTGCATTTCAGGGATGTGCAAGTCCAAGTTTGATTCATATGTTGTGATATTCCCACGTTCTCGCTTTTCTATCATTTTCTGTTCACTTTCTGACATCTTAGATTCTCAAGCTTATTGAGCACGTTTCTACTCTTTGTGATTGTGCCACACCGTACCAGGAACTCCTGTTCAAACGCCTGGGTAGTTGTTGCGAAACTGTGTGATACTGTGTGAGGCGAAGGAAGAAAAAAAAAGAAAAGAGAGGGAGAAAATGGCAGCCATCAAGGCTCGATGTGAAGTCGGCGGGGGATATTTTTCCAGGCCGCTGAAGTTTCAGCAACGCAGATGACCCATGAAAATTCCAAAATTCGTCGGATCAGTTGGACTGGGAGGAAATCAGCTATCATTTCTTCAGTATGAGGTATGATAAGACCATATAAGCCCATATCTGGTTGATGGTTTGGAACATGTTTTTTATCTTTCCATATCATGTCAAGGTAGGATTAATGAATCCCTCCCGATTAATCAACCACCACTGCCCAATGTTTTTTTTTGTAGTTTAAAAACAGGTGGTCCCCCTGGATTAATAAACCGTTTGGCCTGGGATGATTAATCAACCACCTGTGCTGAAATCCATTTTTTTTAATCCAAAATTCTTTATTTCCAATCTTTTTGTCTCTCATCATGTTTCATCAATCTCAGACAAGTGAGATTTTAGCAATCAAATCCTCCAATGAGCCAAAATAGCTGCAAATAATCAACCACCAGTGCTGAAATGTGAGATTTAAAACCCAATGGAATCTTATGGAACCCATCACTGCTGATCATTGAAAATTTGAAAAAAAAAACATATATCCCCCAAATGATCGATTCTAATGAAATTCTTTATAAAAATCATCAGTTTGGATAGCTCCCAAAGGGTACCCCCCATGAGCCCCGAGGTCCCCCATCAAAAAAATAACCGAGGTTCCCCCTGATTAATCAACCCCCCATGTCAATGTTTTTTCTTTGGATTTGCCCATTCATTCCAATTGAATCCTATGGGTTCCATGAGATTTTAACAATCAAATCTTATCAAATCCAATGGAATCTGATGGGTTCCATGAGGTATGAGCTATCAAATCTAATCATATCCAAAATTTTAAGGTTCAGGGGCCGTTTATTTAGGGGGGATACAGGAAAGACCTTACAAGGTATATACCTACCTTGTGGGGTGGGGGCGGTTGATTAATCCTACGTTGACATTATTGGGAATTTCATCATCCCAACTGACGAACTCATATTTTTCAGAAGGGGTAGGTTGAAACCACCAACCAGATTTTTATTATTATCCATCATTAACCCTATAATAACCATTATTAACAGTATATTAACCAATGGTAAAAACCAGATCATCATTTCAGCAAGTACTTGTTTAGTCCACCTTGTCGGTTCCTTAAAACGTCATTGTCGAACCGTGGGCTTGTTGAGTAAAGCTTTTCCCTCACGGAAATGGCTTCATCGCCCAACACGTCCGTTCCATTCCGGAAATGGCGACCAGCAGTTGCTTTGTCACGAAACGAGCATGAAACCATAGATGTTTGGCCAGGCTATCCACATGATGCTTGCCTATATCAGATATTCGGCTGCTACAAGACTCCCTGGTTCCCTGGTTCCCTATCCCAAGTGCTCCATGTATGTAATGCGTCCCAACAGGAACCCTCAAATGGCCAAATGGCCCAGATGTAAGTGTATATAGTTTCAATGGGTCTGTTCATTGACGAGGTGACAAATATATATATACATGATATAGAATTATGTATATATCTATGTATATACGTATATAATATTCAGTATATATACTAACCAGCGAAGAAACAGAGAAGTGTTTGCGCCATCTCCGCAAGATCAGGCCGAATTGGACCAGGCCAAGCGCGGCTGTTTCACGGAGCATTGAGGGGAGCCTGTACTGTTACAGAAAGCCTTGGCTTGTTACGGAAAATGTTCAGAGTCCATGTTGACCTATCACTTCAGAAGCTTGACCCCGCAATTCAGCATGAACCAGAGTTGGATTAGTCCTGCTTGACATTGCTATACAAGGGTATGGGTCATTTGCACTGCTTTGTTTGTTTCTAGTTACAAACATGTGTTTTGCACTTCTATCATCTCTACTTCCGTTTTGGTGGAAACCCCATTTACATCCATATTTACTGTAGGGATATGTTAAGTAGTAAGTTGGCTAAAGACATGTGTTGGGTCACAGAACATCACCATGTTTGTTGATTAGCGTGAAGTCCCCATTGTTTTTTGGTTCAAACCATAATCTGATGCAGGCTAAATGTTGTTACAATTAATATGCAAACATGGTTGATAATTATCAAAATCCATGGCCCAAAATTGTGTCGTCTACTAAATATGTACATATGAATCAGCACATACAATATACAGGATAGAGTACAAATGCATGTAATATGTAGTTATATAATATGTTGAGAGGGTGCAGATATATGCAATTCATATATATATATATATATATTATTTTATTAGTTTATCTTATATTATATTATATATATATATATTGTTAGATTATTTTATATTATATATATATATATGTATTATATTATGTATATTATATATATATATATTAAATTATATATATTTTATTATGTATATTAAATATATAGTATATTATATTATGTATATTATATATATAATATATTATATTATATTAAATAAAATTATATTTATATTATATTTATATTATATTATATTATATTATATTATAATATATATTTTATTATATATATATTATTATATATATATTATATATATATATATAATAAAATATATATTATAATATAATATAATATAATATAAATATAATTTTATTTAATATAATATAATATATTATATATATAATATACATAATATAATATACTATATTATATTTATTATATTATAGATATATATATATATTACATATTATGTATATATTATATATTATATATATTATATATATATTATATTATATATTATATATATAATATATTCTATATATTATATTTTATTATATATTATATATATATTATATTATATTATATTATTTTTTATTTTATTATATTATATGTATAGTATATAGATATATATCATATATATATATATTTCTTATATTTTATTTTATATATATAATAAATTATTTGTATGTATATCTTATCTTATATATTTGATATATTATATATATTATGTCTTTTATATATATATTATAGTTTATGTATATTATATATATGTCATGTTTATATATATATATTATTATATATAATAAATTATATATATATGTATATTTTATCTTCTATATTGTATATATATATAAATATATATTTTATATTATATATAATATATTATATATAATATTATATATATTTTATATTATATATATTATATTATATTATATTATATTATATGATATTATATTATATTATATATATATATATTATATTATATATATATTGTATATTATATATATTCATGTCTATATTTTACATATGTATTTATTTAATTATGATAATATCATTGCATGTATGTGATCACACACACATATATATATTGCATAATTACCCACATTCCATAAATCCATGGGTAAATCATCATCTTGGTCGGCTCCAAGCCGCCCTGGCCTTTTTTTCAGGCCGAAAAAAAACGGGCAGCGCAGGAGGCTGAGAGGGAGAAGCAGCGGGTCTGGAGAACCCGGTCGTGGATCCAGAAGTGGAAAGAACATCCAAAAAACTGGGTTACCCACTGGTAAACTAAGAGTTTGCTATGGAAAATCACTATTTTTGGGTAAATTAACGAACGAAATGGCTATGTTCAATCGCTATGTAACAAATTACCAGGTATAAATGATGGTTGATATCAATGGATTGGGTCGAAAATCGATGGTTTCCGGCTGGATTTTCCCGCCGATCCATTGAACATATATAGTGGGTTTTTCACCACACCTATGGCCAATAAAATCCCATAGTTAACATATAAATGTTAATCACCTACTGAAAACGGTGTGTGTCTATAATATCAGCATGATTTAATATAAACATATATATATATATATTTATATATATATTTATATATATATATTATATATATATATCAACATATTTATTTCATTAACTATGATTCTTTTCATAAATAACACATGTCTATTCTACTGAGATTTCTAAGTTTTCACAAAGTCCATGGCGGTGCACTTTGTGGAGAAGCTTCATGGCTTGACCAAGAGCGGAAGTGATGAGAGTTCAGCGCAAAACTTGTGATTTCATGGGAATTTGATGGGAATTTTGGGAATTCCTACGGAATTTGTTGTGATTTGATGGGACTTTACTTGTGATTTCTTGTGATTTGATGGGAATTTGTTGTGATTTGATGGGAAATTGTTGTGGGAATTGACCGGATTGAGGTTCATATGGATTTTTTTTTTGCCTCCTTTCTTTGAGTTTGTGAATGCAACAAATTTCATAGACTTAAGGATTATATCATAATATGACCAGCAATAAAATTGGAAGCCACCAGCAAACGTTTGATTTGCAGCCAGGAAAATGTGGTTTTTCAACCAGAAAAATGAGATATAGTCCAGCAACAACCAGCAACGACGTTTCAACATTTCAGGGATTGACCTACCAGGAAACATGAACATTTTTGAACTGACTGGTGAAGGATATTTGACTGATTGTAATGTGAGATGTCGGGGATGTCAACCACCCATAGTCAACAGAGCTCCGGGATATATATATATATAGTGCTGATTGGTGGTTTGGAACATGTTTTATTTTTCCATTCAATTGGGAATTTCATCATCCCAACTGACGAAGCCATATTTTTCAGAGGGGTTGAAACCACCAATCAGTACAGTGAAGAGTATGTGAATAGCAGCCACAAACAAATGATATTTCTAGGAATGTCTAGGGTATCTGACTGGATGGGTGGTTTGATACTTGAAGAATATGTTGCCATCAAAAATGCAAATGCATACGGTGTTTTACACATGATTCAATTTTTGATATATAATTATATATACTATATATATATAAATATACTATCTATATATATATTATATGATCAGATAATAATATTACTTAATTTAATACAATTTCAATACTGTAAATACCAGCTAAAGGATTTTTTTGCAGGGTATCTAAGATCCAGGTTTCATGCTTAGTGGCGAAGCTTATCTGTTGATGGGAGCCTTCAAAAAGGTGGAGATAGTAGCAGCAGAACTGTCACCGTTGTGAGTCATTTGCCCAAGAAACATGGGACAGTTTCATTCGCAAAGATGGAAAGTTGAACCAGCTGAAAACATGGATTTCATCAATATGCTTTGGATAACACACATGGAAATTTCATCCGCAAGATGCGACAAACATGAAGCATATGCTGCTTTAATATGATCAAACGAAGCGTGTAGATAGATTTTGAACATGTAACCATCAATTACATGCTGATCATTTGTGGAGAGATGAGGGATGCTTCAATTTGTGCCCAGTATCGGCCAGTAATGCTTTTGTTTGTTGTATTGTGTCCTAATGTTTTTTTCCTTCCCCGTTTCTGTTATACATACCTTGAATCAGCCTTGTATGAAACAAGCACCCTTTGCCCCAAAATGTTGGTATGCTAAACATCTTCAACCCAGTCTTAACATATGATATCGGCACCAACATCTCAGTATTTTAGATGTTTTACCCGTTTGTACCAAATGTAAAAAAAAAACACAATCTCTGCCCCAACATGTTTTCCGCAACATGTTTTCACCCAGGCTGAAGCCTGGGTCGCTCGCATGAACGCGGAGGCCGACGCGAAGGCGGCCACGGCAGTGTCGGCCAAGAATTTGCATCAAGGGTGACTCCCCTTAGGGCGAATCGTAAGCACACATAATATATAATAATTATAATAGACAATCACTATATATATATATATATATATATCGTTTTTTCATATCTATCTATTGGTCATCTATTGTTGGTGATATAATGTTGGTGATATTGATTGGGTTTATTGAAGGGTGGATGTTGATCCTCCTTAGGAAAGGGTCACTGAAATGGGCGGTACACCGTTCAAGTCCTGTGAAACCAACCAACGTATCAGACCCCTATTCGATCGGAAACAAATATGTTGGTTTGTGGGTACAATGACTTGATCTATAAACCACTACCCTCTGGTAATTTAACATAGCTATTGAACATGGCCATTTATAGTGGATTTTCCCATTAAAAATGGTGATTTTCCATAGTGATGTGAAAGTTTACCAGAGGGTAAGTTTTGACAAGTAAAAACTATGGTTTATCTATAACTAAGACTTCTGGTGGCTTTGAATCTAGCGTTTTTCATCGATGATGTATAAGCGTCGGCCAGAACTGGGGGCCTGAAAAACCTCGCATGTCTGAAGCTGCCAAGATGGGGGATATTCTAAGGTTGTGGGGTTTCCATCAATAAATTGGGTTAATATAAACGCCATAATCATTGTAAATCGGGTATCATCATGATATCATGGGAATATTTTATGGTGATATATGATTTAGTACCTTAAATTAAGCATCAATAAATCGGGCAAAAATGTCCATGGATTTCCAAAATCTAGCCATATGTTTTGGTTCACAGATCTGGAAATGAACTGATCCTTCTTGGGATGATTCCCCTTGCTAACCCCTGCTAAGTAGGGTAACCATCACGTAAAATGGGCCCCCTTAAGAAAGGAACAGAAGTGTAAGTGAATAAATATGAATACCACAACTGATGGATTGTGGTGGATCAGTTTCGTCAAACGCGCGAAAATAGACCAACCATGACCAATGCGGGGGCTCAACTGTGCAGCTCAACATATCCACCGTGATCAGGTGAAATTGGTGAAATACCAATTTTCTTGATAGGAATAACTTGATGCAACAGGAACAATGGATTGGTTTATGGGAAAATCTACAGGAAACCATGGATTTTCCCATGAAATATGGGGGTTTCCTGTATTTTTCCCTCAAACCAATCCGTTGAACAGGAACATGACTATATGTTGAGGGTTGACTTGCACCGGCAGATCCCGGGCCCATGGGCTATGGCCAAATTTATGGTTGGTGCCAAGAATTGGCTGCCAAGAAAAACCAGCAAATGCTTGGTGGTTGTTACCCTCTGGTAAACTTTCACATAACTATGGAAAATCACCATTTTTAATGGGAAAACTCACTATAATTAGGGTATTTTCGATAGCTATGTTAAATTACCAGAGGGTAGTAGTAAACCACCCAAGTCGGTGGTGAAGAATTTTGAGACATATCCAGAAATGATGCTTCATTCTGCGAAGATTTCAGGTTCACATGGTTCACATGTGTATATTGCAAGGAAGGAAATGTGTTTGGAGCCAAGCGCCGTTTGTTCCTGGTTCATCATTATGGTTGGTTAGTCAAATCCAATTTGTCGTTGCACTCAGGCCGAAGAGAAGCAAAAAAAGGAGGTCCCCATGGGGAGCGAGAGTTTCCCAAGCGCATAGCTAAAGGCGGAGGATACCCCCTGTCTGAGGATCAGAGTCCATTTTTTTATTTATTCTCGAATTACATTCCGAAGAAAAAAACATAACAGACACAATTGGGCGAATTGAGGCCACACCTTTGATGATTTGAACACCAGAATTGTGCCAGCAGTTGGTTGGTGCTAAACCTTGGAATTCAACCATATATCTAGCCAATGACAGTTACATACAGTTACCAAGTCATGGCATGTCTTTTTATGCAAATGATACGAATCTACCTACCGCTAGAAAGCCGTTTGAGGACCTGACGGAAACCACCCAAAAACATGGCAAAACAAGATTTGTTAAATGGAATTGATATCTCCAACAGGATGGATAAATGATGGGCATGTGTTTGCCATTACTGTAGATTTGGGCTTACATCAAGGCTTACATCCGCCAGATCCGATGGGGAGTGCACCAAAGCCAGCAGCAACATTTGTTGGTTTTGCAAAGATCTTGCCATCAATTTTGGGAACAGTAGTTCAGCCAAATGTTATCATTAACCTTGCAGGACCATTGACTTCCAGCCTTCTTTTTCTGGTGAGCAAAAAATTGTGCCTCCGACAAATCGCATCTATATAGCATTGTATAGGAACTATATACCCTCTGGTAAACTAACATAATTATGGAAAATCATCATTTTCAATGGGTAAATCCACTATTTCTATGGCAATTTTCAATAGCTATTTTGACATAACCAGAGGGTAGGCGGAAAATCATCGGATCTTGATGGATTTCGGATGTTTTTTTTTACCACAGGAGGAGGAGGTGGCCAAGAAGAAGGCGGCCGAGGAGGTCGCTGGAGAGCTGAAGAATGAAGCAGGATATGAATGGAGATAATATATACTGTGTATATATATATTATATTTAACCAGATATAGTTAAGTTTATTAATGAGATATATATATATATATATCATATCATATAAGACGATATATATATATATATACCTACTATATCAAGGGTATGTATCATGAATATTATTTGTATATTGATGTATATCATATTGTTGGGATGCAATGTTTATATTGTTGTTGTTGGTTTACAGTATCAGAACAAAATATGTATAATTTATATGTTATATATATGTATATATATATATATACAGGAAAAAAACAAACATACATAAATAATTCGGGATATGATAATGGTGACTTGAATGGGATCGGATATCATAGAACTAATCAACAATGTATGGTGTTTGGATGTTGATTTGAACATTCAATATATCTGGGTGAATGCCCTCTGGTAACCTAGCAGTTTGCCGTGGAATCCATGACCCGTTTGAAGATGCTCTCTATTCTATTGACTATTGATTTATCTTGAAACTATATAAACATGACATGTTGTTCTCCAACAAACTGTTAAATTACTAGAGGTCAACCACTAAAAATCGAGTGTTTCACCACAAAAAAGCAGGATGTTAGTGGGATTTATGTGGGGAAACGCAACAATCGTTTGGTTTTTTTTGTGGATGAATGAATGGGTTTTAGGGGAAAATCTACAGGACACCTCCTATGATGGGAAGAACACAGATTTTTTCCTGTTTTGGGACAACCCCGCTTTGATATATATATATATATACATAATGATATATATATATATATGACATGGGGAAAGTATCAGATTTGTTTTGATATCATGCTGCATACCTAGTAATACATGTGTATATATATATATATATGCGTACTATGTATGCTCCTCATCATGTTATGTCTAGATCTGAGGGGTCATGTTGCCCAAGGAGTGACTTTGATGGAAATCAGGAAGAACAATCCAAATTCGTTCAGGGTGTGGCTCCCCCAAAGGATAGCTAAGCTGGTGCATAACTATTAATAAGAACTATGGTTGATTATATTGCGCACATCACGAATTATAGTGTTCTATGGCTTTATAATAGTAACAACCATAAAAAATATTAAATGGTTGTTCTAACATCACCATGTTGTTGGTTTTCATGTTTTTCATTTTTTTTTAAACCAACGATGGCCTTATCGGGGTTATCGGGCTCACAGGCCGCGGCTGAGCGCAAGAAACTCTTCCGGACGAAGTCGCAAGTCATGGCGGAGGAAGAGGAACAGCGACGGCAGGTGCCCCGTGGGAACCGTGGGTCGAGAGTGGCAGTGGTGTTTACACCGGATCTGTCGTACAAAAATAATGTGGGTGAAACAAAAATAAACCACTGATTTGGGAAGGGCTTATACCACCTATTCATGGTGATTTGGGGGATACTTTATTATTGTTTTACCCACATTATACAGTATAATTTCTATAAGTATGTCTATTGCATGTTATGGATAGATATGAATGGATATATGATTGCAAATATGTATAGAATGTGTATATATATATATACATGACTGGATGAATGTACAAATTCTATGACAATTGGCTGATTCCTACAACATATACATACATATACCATTGTTTGCTGGACTAACAAGTGTGAAGCAAAATAAATATTGGTGGCTTCCTGGTGCGTCATCACGATCAGTTTTCGCCCTACCACACAAAACATGTGCAACTTGGGCAGTTAGCTGACTAAAACACCGTGTCTTTGTCTCACCAGTCTCACCAGTGGCAATGTAGGATTCGTTGTGCCCTAATCTTGTACTTAACCGATTAACCGAGCATCAGCCGTCCCTGTCTGATCTTGTTTCATTTCTTGTGTCAATCTGAACGTGTCCCAGTCATTGACCCTTCTGTATCCTTTTCTACTGTTTGGAGGAGTACACAGTTTGCTTCCACATGCTTCCACAAAGCTTCAAGCCACGCATGATGCACCCCACTTCCCCACGGCATAGGAACGTGCGCGCAGACAAGAGGAGGAGTTTGGCTGTGCCATTGCCGGAGGCTTTGAGAAGGCGGCCAACAGCTATGGAAAATCGCCGTCAATAGGTAAATCATCTGTAGGTGGGCCATGGCATATAGCTATGTGAAATGACCATTTTTGGGGTACTTTTGGGATCGACATGTAGGGAGTTTTGCAGGAGTGTGATTAGGGCGAGCATACAGTATAGCATCCTGAAGCGCTAGTGAAATGACGTTGTCGTGTTTGCGCTCAATGTCGTTGTTGCTGGATCAATATTCGCTGGTTGCGTCGGCGCAGGGTGATTACGTCATTGCACAGAATAACATGCTACTTGGACTGGAAGGTGTCGGAGGATGAAGATTGAACACCCAAATATGGCCCAAACGCGACTAGAGAAACAATGAAAAAGCTTTGAGAAACAATCATTACCTCAGAAATAATGTTCTAAACAAAAAGTAATTAGCGTATTTTCTGTTGTGCCAGGGAGTATTGGCAACAAAGGCTAAAACCATGAGTCAGGGTGGTTTACAACGGTTTCAATTTGAACGAGAAATAAGGTACTCAGATACTCAACATTTGGCTCACGCCGTTGCAAAGCCAACAATAGTTGAACACGAGTTTTTTGCAGATCTTCTCGACCAATCAGTGGGTCAAGTTTACTTTGCTTGGCTTTGTCATTGAGATTGATTGCATAGAGATCCAATGGTGATTTATTTTCTGTCGGTACATCTGGCTCATGCTTACAGTGGTTTAGGTTGCTCTAAGTCAATTCATCTAGTCTATAACCAACATGACATGTTTACAATGATATATATATATATATTATTATATACATATATATTATCAAACATATATAATGTGTGATAATTCTTGCTATACTTCGTGCTTAATGGTGTGATACCATAGCCGATCGCACTGCGAATCTCAGGTCCGTTCAAGGCGAAATCATCGTGAAGAAGGGCACCCGCGGCGTGGTGAGGCGGCGTGTTTTGTGGCCATTTTTCGATGCGAAAACTTGGTAAACTAACATAGCCATGGAAAGATCCACCATTTTCAATGGGAAAAATCCACTATTTCTATGGCAATTTTCAATAGCTATGTTAGTTTACCGGAGGGTAAACTCTTGGGTGTATGGATGTGTACATGGTAGATATGTATCAACTTAATATATGCTTTATAAACAGCATAAACATAGCCAAACATAGCTGGGGCTTTGTGATGATTTGGGCGGCAGATCTTGTTCTGTGCGTTTTACACACTGGTGAACATCTACCAATATATCCATGGCCACCACTATCGGAATCTACGTATCGGAATCCACCAGCGTTTCTTATTTCAAATATTTTCAAATCATTACTATTCCAAATCATACAGTACTAGTTTAGATCCATTTAGATATTTTTTCGTAAAGTTTTTTATACGTCTATATAATATATAATATTATATAATTATATATGTACTGTATATATCTATATATTTTAGCCATAAACTTTTAATGTACTTTCTACGCGCCCCAGGGGACCCAGCGAGACAGATCCTCAGAACCGGGTCTCGGTGGCCTTTGACAAAAGGGAGAAGGCGGGTCCCGTGGCGTCCGCCACGGCGTCTCGGGTGAACTCTGGAAGTTATGGCCCAATTTTTACACTTCCCATATTATCCGTGGTGCTGATATATTTACCTACAAAACTGGGTGATTTTGGACAAGGGTAAATCTTGGTACTGTAAATATGCCAGCACCATGGAGCCTGCATGGGATTTTATGGCACTCTGGGAAAAAATGACTCCTGCAACCAGTTGGTGAAACATATCACTCAAATGATGTTCAAGATTTTCTTTTGATTACATATAGAAAACCACCCTGGGGGAAACTAGCGATGCTGAGCATCCACTACTTAAGTCTAGGTTTTTGTGCTATGGTGTCCTGATAGGAAACCATGGGTTTTCCACATCCGTTTTGGTAGAAACGACCTCCCCGGGATGCTTCTCGAGGCCAGTATTTTTTCAGCTTCAGCAACAAACGATGACCAGATTGCTGGTAGAACCCCCGGATCTGATGGATAGATACTCCACATCGATTCGTCCAGATCAACGGATCGGAACTAAAACACCCCTGGTGTTTTTGTTGTCCCCGATTCCTGGATTCTCCCGGGGAAACTATAGGCCCACTTAGCGAAAAAGATCCTGTGATGATCCTCGAAGTAAAAAAACTAGGCGGTTCCTCAGATCCTGACAGTTAGCGAATGGTTTTTGTGGTTTGGCAGCTTGTTTTTGACCACATATATACCCTCGTAATCTATAAATGGTGGGGTTTCCATATTTATGTCAAGAGGGAAACTGCTATAGTAGAAAGACATAGTAAGATTAGTTCAGTGGCTGGGGCATAACCACTCCACTAATCTCACTGTATACATATGCATATACAAATATAATCATATATGTATCTATATTCAAATATATATATAATATATATATATATACATGTACGACCACTAATTCATTGGGGTATCATAGACTATATATGGCTAGCCAGTTGCCAATGTTTTACCCGCCGTAGTGATGATGCCAGGCCGGTTACGCTCAGATCAACGTGGTGCACTTTGAGATTAAGGTGCTGGGCTAGGTGGATTTCTGGTGAATTTGGGAATTTCAATGGGATTTACCAGAGAGAAGTTGATCAGCAAATTTGATCACCCAATATCCATTTAATCCATTTAAATACTCTGGATCATTTAATCACAAATGGTGATTTGAAATGCTTTAACTAACAAATATGGGTTTGACAAGAGGAACTTAATGGGGATTTACCCACCAACTATGCTTAGCTAAGTGGCTTTACAATTCCGTTAACAAGGGCTTAACAAACGTGGTCTTTTTAAATCTTGTTTACAGAGTTTTATGGTAAGTTAGTGATATGTTTTTTAGACCAGGACTTAAGTGTTGATTGCTTCCAGGTGACTCAAAAATTTACAGCTGTACTTCTTGTTCTTGTGATTTCTGCTCTGAACAAGCATGTTGTCTCATAATGTTGAATCTTTATTGGGATTTCTTTAGACACACACATATATATATATAATATATATATATATACACATATTGTTTGTCTTGCCATTTGGTTTTCTGTGGTTTTCTTTCCGCACACACCTGTTTCTGTTTTAGATCATCCCATGGATCTTTAACAAGCATCATTTCAGCATGGTTTTTATAAGTCCATATTAAAGTCCTTAAAAATATCCCATTGACTGCGCAACAAAACTCCACTGTTCCAACTCGCCAATTGCCGTTTCGGAGCGCAGGTGACGGACGCGCCGTTGCAAAAGGACCCCAATGTCTCGGAGCTGATTGAGAAGCAGCTGGGCAGCCATCCTTGGATCTGGTACCATGGGAAAACATTTTGGAAAGAAAGGGACAAAAGAATATGGGATATAATATGATACAATGATTGATGACTGGCACCATGATGGGAAAAGAATTGGATATCAATTCATTGATCCGACATGAATCGGATATGTATATTAATGATACATATTCATATTCATTACTGTAGATATTCTTTAAATGTCTTTTTTTGGCCCATGTGAAAACCCTGTTCTTCACCTTGGCGCGGTTTTGGAAGAAAAGGAGTGGTTGGTTCATCCCAACTGGTGACCCATGAAACAACTGCTAAATTTGGAGCTCAAAACCCTGGTGAAACCCGGTGGAAATCCACGTTTTTTTTTATGTTTCAGTCGCCGAAATCACTGTTCGTTGTATAAAAAAAACATATTCCAACATGCTTCAGGACACATTCGGATACAATTCCTTGACATATGTAACATTACATGCCAATGACATCACACATCTTAAGATTTTAAGGCATTGGATCGGTGTAAAAACCAACGTTGGACTGTTGCGTTCCTGAGGATCATGACGCCCAGGGATGCGCGCAGCAAACAAGTGGTGCCCCTCGGTAGCACCATATCCCCATGGTATAACTGACTGTTTCTTTCCCTATAGACCACCCTTAGTTTTGACATATCATATTTGTGATATGATATAATATATTGAATATGGTATATTGTAATATATTGTATATATATTATATATATGTTGTGTATATATATAATTATTGTATATATATATATATATATTAATCATAACCACGGTACTTAGTTGGTTTTACCCACTTTGTATTTTAACAACCGGGGTGTTGCTTAAAAGGACGATCAAAACATCGATCCCAGCACATTCACCAGTTCGCCAAAAAGGCATGAGACACAGGAGTTCATATAGAAAAGGGATACAGTAAAACATTCATATAGTTCATATATATATATATGAGACACATGTTGTTCATATATTTTCATTGTTTATGGGTTTTAGAACGTTGATGCTCTGGATGTCAACATGTTTCATTCTTTGGAAATACATGGAAATAGATGGAAATAGAACATATCAACATATCGCCAGCATCGTATCGCACTGGGTTAATTCTATCCTCCTCAGAATGACATCACCATAAATGATGAATAGTGGGAATCATCCTTCAAACTGCCCATCCGGAATCCCAAAGTATAGAAAGCACATGAGGAGTGCTATGGAGTGCCCGGTTGGTTGATGATTAATTACAGGGGATTATACTATGCAATAGAATCTGCTTGGTGGTTTGGAACATGAATGGATTATGACGTTCCATTCAGTTGGGAATTTCAGAAAATCCCAACTGACGAACTTCATGATTTTTCAGAGGGGTAGGTTGAAACCACCAACCAGTAATTGATGGTCAAAATCACAATCGAACGGTGGAACCTTGCTACTAACCAGCGAGGGATGACACAGTGCTTCCCGGGACCAACGCATTAGGAACGAACTGGAAGAAGACTGACACGGGTCGCGTTTTCACCACCGGCCAGCGTCGCAAATGGATTGACGGAATGCCCAATTGGAGGTTTCCTAAAGTGGGATGGGACAAGGGTTTTGGGTTCCAGGACACCCCCAATTGGTACAATGAATATGCCGAATATGGATAAGAGTGACCATTTTATGTGGATGAAGAAGGTTGCAATGACAATATAAATGTCAGCGTGAATGTCCGTCATGATACCAATGATTTATTGATGACTGAATATGATGACGATAATACATGTTTGTAAAAACATTCATTGTCGTCGTCGTCGTCATCATCATCATCATTATCATCATCATCATCATCATCATCATCATCATCATCATAATCAAACAACGTCAATTCATTTGATTGGTGTAGACACATGTCATTCTGTGAGATCATTATCCCTAGGTATGGACTGTTGGCACGATGGGTACCTCACAATTGTTGTTTGTTGTTGATCGATTGGTTCAAGGAGGAAATCAGGTCGGTAGACCACTGAAAATCTATGGGGGCGCCTTCCTCATCACCATTGGTTTCCCCCCTTGATGACCTATAACTTAGATGATTAGGGTTTTCCAGATTGGGAAACTCCATTTTGATATATATATATATATATTTATAATTTATATGTATATATATAATTTGTATGTGTATATACATATATATATATAATGTGTATGTGTATATATATATACACATTATATACCATGATGATACTTTTAGGTGTCAATGACTCACGCATTTCCCTGAAGCCAGAATTTCACAATCTTGATCCATGGCAGGGTCATTTCAGCCCTGTTAACATCCGTACGCAACACTAAGCAATAGTTTCGTTTGGTTTTTTATAAATATCTATGAGAAAACCATGGGAAAAGCAATAACATGTCTATTAAATATCTATGAAATACCATATTAAGTACTGGTCGCTGGTTTGGAACATTCTTTTCCATTCAGTTGGGAATGTCATGATCCCAACTGACGAACTCAGATTTTTCAAAGGGGTAGTTATACCACCAACCAGATAATGTTTAATATATTACTGAAACCAAAAAGAAATCGAAGCTGTATCCCCACTTATCCACACTTGGAATCTTGACACATCACCAGATGGTTTGAAGGGTGTTGCGTTTCCACTGGTCGGACTGAGGGCATTGCAGTGCCTAAGACTCGGTGACAATGGCCACATGTGGGAGGAATGGGAGATTATCTGAGATGTTTCAGTTTGCAGTCGTTAGACGTCAGAACCTTAACATGCCATAACATGCCCAGAATTTTCTCTCCTACATGATGTTTTGAGATGTTTTTGAGAGGTTTAAGCCATTTTGGGGGTGTTTGTTCCGGCATCTAGATTGCCAGATTCCTCCTTCGCAGTGCATGCCATGAGAAAAACCCTGAGAAAATGAAGCGTGCCAACGTGCCATGGGCAAAAAGGAGTGCCGTGCATGTGAGGATGGCTCAAATGATTGGCCAACATGTTGAGAGATATTGATATGCCTGATATGCTTGTGTGTAATTATATATTTGCTATAATTACTACTCAATGCTACGCAATGTACGTACATATAACATCATATAACATGGTTTAGTATGGTGTGATGTGTTTTCTTATTCTTCAATATTCGATATGAGTTACTGTAATGCGGACAGCTGTGTAGAATATTGAACAAACTGCACAACAGCTTGTTAGCTTGTCATAACTTGTCACGTACACTGTTGGCATGGTCAGAGTCATAGGATGGCATAGGTCAAAATGTAGCAACATGTTAGAAATCCATGAATTTCCCAGGGCTAGACTAAAACTAGCCAATGTAACTAATTCACATACATGCCTCACTGCCACTGCACAGAAATCCGAAAAAAAACACAACGCCTGCACCGCCTGCACCACCATCCTGGCGAAGCCCTGCTGTGCCCGCTGCCTGAACCAGGCTCGCTGGATCGCGCAGAAGTACATTGAGAATCCCCTGATTGTGAACGGCAAGAAGTGCGGATGCTCAGCTGAAAACATGAAGCCTCGAGTAAGTTACAATTGGGAAACCGGACACTTAATATTATCACTATCTTACCATTTTTTCTTGTTGATATGTAGGATTTTATAATTTATATAACATGCGTTTATCTCCAAAAAGCTTCACGTTGGCGTTTCCGTCAGGGTTGGCCTGGGCTAAATGATCTGAGGGCTGGGAGATCGGGATGTGCATTTGCATCCCACCGAAGTTGTTGGTTAAACCACATTTGGGTGTGTCTGAAAATGTTGTGTAGCCCTAAACCCAATGGTTAATGATCATTATCCCCATTAAATGGCTATAATTGGGAATATACCCTATTTTCAGACAAACCCATTTAATTTCCGGATCCATCGCACTGCAACAATCTGAAAAATATTGAAAAATATTCAAGACATTGGAGAATACTCGAACTTAGCTGACTTCATCATAATAAAAATACTCAAACTGAGGGATATGAACAGTACCACAGAACACTTCAACGTACCCGACCTGGTTCAACAAACACTCTTCAGAAGGACAGCGACGATTTTTCAATCTATGGTGACAACATGTGACAACTGGGGATCCCCCATGACTCTCATGAAGCCCCCATGAAAGTGTTGTATACCACCTAAAGGCAGGATAGACAAGGTTTTCTCATGTTTTCTCCAGTTCACAGAAAACGTTCTGTCAATGTTTTGCCCCTCAAACTGATGTTTGACCGTGTGACCAGTGGTGCAGTGTCTGAGGGATCCACTGTGAGTGCAGGATTTCTCAATGCAGGGGTAAACGGGGCCCACGCCAACAGGGCGGCGCCGAGAAGCCGAGAAGCCGAGAAGCGCCGCGAAGCCGAGAAGCCGAGAAGCCGCGAAGCCGAGAAGCGCCGCGAAGCCGAGAAGCCGAGAAGCCGAGAAGCGCCGCGAAGCCGCGAAGCCGAGAAGTCGAGAAGCGCCGCGAAGCCGAGAAGCCGAGAAGCCGAGAAGCGCCGCGAAGCCGAGAAGCCGAGAAGCCGAGAAGCGCCGCGAAGCCGAGAAGCCAAGAAGCCGAGAAGCCGAGAAGCCGAGAAGCGCCGCGAAGCCGAGAAGCCGAGAAGCCGAGAAGCGCCGCGAAGCCGAGAAGCCGAGAAGCGCCGAGAAGCCGAGAAGCCGAGAAGCCAGGAGTCCAAGGAAAAAGAGTGAGGAGTTGAACGAACAAGACAGGACTTTAACGAAAGAGAGGCCGCCGACGAAAGAGCATTAGAGAAATGAAAGAAGGAATCCGAACGAAAGTCAGGAGCCCAGCGAAAGAGAGGGGAGTTGAACGAACAAGACAGGACTTTAACGAAAGAGAGGCCTCCAACAAAAGAGCAGTAGACAAATGAAAGAAGGAATCCGAATGAAAGTCAGGAGCCCAACGAAAAAGAGTGAGGTTTTAAGCGAAAGAGAGGGGAGTTGAACGAACAAGACAGGACTTTAACCAAAGAGAGGCCTCCAACAAAAGAGCAGTCGAGAAACGACGAACGAAAGTCACGAGTCCGACGAAAAAGAGTGAGGCTTTAAGCGAAAGAGAGGGGAGTTGAACGAACAAGACAGGACTTTAACGGAAGAGAGGCCCCCAACAAAAGAGCAGTAGAGAAGCGAAAGCAGGAATCCGAACGAAAGACAGGAGTCAAACAAAAGAGAGAGGTTTCAACCGCAAGAATTCCAATAGGATTGTTTCAATTGAATGTGTTTTTAGATCTATTGGTGTTTCCTTCCATGATCATCTCTGCTTGCTTAAGCCATGTGCACCTGGGAGTCACCCTCGATATTTTTTGTTCGACTGCGCCTCTATCTTGTATATTCAAGTATGCTGAGCCGCTTTTTGGTTCGAGCGCCTTTAAGATTAATCAGTTTTCGTGGCTAACCGCATGGCATTGAGTCTGCGGAAGTTCTATTCCTTACAGGTTCTCCGGAATGGACAGATAAGACGCATTCGTGTTGTATCCTGCAGAGGTGATTTGCTTCAATTGCGATACTATTGGAAATCTTTTTGTGATCTCTTGTTCTCCCTCCTTGTTTGCGGGACTGATTATCCATTGAAATTGACGGGAGCATTGCTTTCGACTTTGCAGTGAATGGCGTGATACTCATGCAGGAAGTGAAAAGAATGGGCCAGCAGTAGCAGAGATTGCCTGTAGAATTGGCCTTTTGATGCCTTTTGTCTGCTGTTTTTTTTCAAGCAAGAGATTTGTTTGGTCGAATGCTTGGGGAGAAGATTTTCCGGTGAGAGAATTTCAATCTGTGCATGGGCGGATTGACGCGTTGTGCATCGTGTCTGTCTTCTTCCGCTGGCAAGTTCTGCTCCTTTTTTTAGTGGATGCATTTTGATTTTGAAACAGTTGGAAAAGTGATTGATGCGGTGTTGCGCGGCCGTTTCTAGCCACAAGTCTAAGTAAGTCGCATTTGTCAAGCGCACGGCACAGAGCCTGCGAGACATGCATCAGAAAATGTTTTGGGATTGACGGGATTATTTTCTATCGGCCTTGCCATTACAATCCAGGGTCGACCAGCATTAGATTTTACCAGACTTGCAGTTCATTTTTACCTCGAATGATTCCAATGACAGGGGTGGTTCGTTAGATTTCAAGACGATTTGCCTTTAAGCACTGCGTGCTTCTGGCATGCAGCCATGGCCAAAGCGCTTGCCAGGGGGAGCTCTGAGTAGGAGGATTTTAGATGTTCCATCAGCTTCTTCGGCAGCAATCCAACGACCTAGTGCTCGTGCTGCAGGAGATGTTCCATCAGCTGATTCGGCAGCAATTCAACAAGCTCATGCTCGTGTAGCAGGAGATGTTCCATCAGCTGATTCGGCAGCAATCCAACGGGCCAATGCTCGCGTGGCAGCAAAAAGCCGCAGCAGAAAGAGGAAAGCAGCAGCGCCGTCAACTGCCGCCCCTCCAACAAAGAAGAGGGTGCGCTCTAGCTGGGCTCCTCGACCGGACTGTATCGAAACCAGTGCAGTAGCGCAAAGGCTGGTGACGGGTCG